GCTCGTGGAGCCCCGGTGTCTGGTGGACTCAACAGAAACGAAGAACCACAATCGTCCGCGCAATGGATCAGGCCCTGAAAAGGCCTCGGGCCGAGCCAGGTGGGTAAGAAGGGCAGGTGGCCTTTGTCCCTGCCCTGCCCCCACCCCGTCTGAGGCTCGCACTGGGAGCTGGCCAGGTCCCCCCTCCCCTGCGGGCCCGCTCACCCTCCTGGCTCTGGCTCTTCGCCCCACTTTGTGCATGTGCCCCTTCCCCCCATGAGCTGCCACCCAGGACAGGGCTTGGCTTACCTCCCAGGGGCCCTGCTGAAGGGTCAGTTGACCTCATTCTTCATGGGACTAGGGCTTTCAAGACAGACGAGAGCCCCGTGGCCCTCGCCCCTCACCCTCCCTGCCCCGCCCCCCCTCCCGCAGGAACTCAGGGAGCCAGAGCGACGGAGAGGGTAAGACAGGCCTCTCGGGGGCCGGGGAGTGGGGGCGGGGGTGGGGGATGTGAGCCGCCAAGCTCTGAGCACACCTGGGCCAGCTGGGCCCAGACATGAGGAGAGGGGACCCCCGGTGGTGGGTGGCGGGTGGCTGGTGGTGCTCAAGCTGGGGGTGGAAACAGCACCCCAGCCCCGCCAAGGAGGAGCTGAGCAGAGGAGGGCCCTGCTCTGCTCACCGGCCCCTGCTCTGCTTACCGGCCTCCGCCTTCCAGAGAGGAGACCCGGGGCGGCGATGGAGCACGCTCTGCTCAGTGACGAGCGTGAGTCAGCGCGGGGTAGGGGCGGTGGCAGGGGTGCTCCGGGGGAGGTTTGGAAGGCCAGGATGGGACTGAGAGTCATCTCCCTGCTGGGGCGGACCCACACAGCACGCCATCAGTGAAGGGACAGGGGGGCTGGTGCCGGGCCCAGCCGCTGCTGGCCTGACCAGGCCTCTGCCCCCAGGGGTCCTGAAGGAGATCCAGAGCACGCTGGAGGGAGACCGGCGGTGAGTCACCCGCCACCCCGGCTTCGGGGGGCCCGGGGTGCCGGGGAGCTCCGGGAATGAGGGCCCTTGCCGCGCCGCCCTGAGTCCCCGTGGAGGGTGACTGCCCCATCTTTGCCCACGCAGGAGCTATGGCGATTGGCGTTCTCAGCAAGTGGCCATGAGGTACAGCCTCAGCAACGGGGGAGGTAGGGACCCTGCGCACTGCTGTGGGGTGGGGGGCGGCTGGGAGGGCGTGCTCCTGGGGGGGGGTAGGAGGAAGAACCCCCTCCCCCGTCCCCCGTCCCCCAAGACCCTACGGACCAAGGGTCCATCCCCACCCGGACACGGGCCCCGGTTGTCCTGGAAAACAACGCGTCTGGGCTGAGAGTGCGTGACAGAGGCCCTCATCCTGCCCAGGGCGCACCTGAGTTCCTGTCACTCTGCCTCCTTCCACAGTGGAGTGAGCGGGCCACGCGTCCCGGCTGCGCGGTGAACACACTACTGAGGGCTGCTCCTTGCTCGGGCCGCATGGAGAGGCCCGTGGTCGGGCCGGGCTGGGGGCCCCCCGGCTGCACTCTGCTGCTGCTCCCGGACTTGGAGAAGGGGCCCCGGGCCCTGGGGCCTCCCCTCCCCAGGTCCCGCCTGTCTCTGTCATTTTTGTCAGTGTTGCACAGTTTTTATCAACCCCCGCCCCCCCTGCCCGGCTTTTTGTAGTGGGCCGGGTTTTAAATTATAACTGCCTTCTGGGTGAAAGAGTTTTTAATAAACACCTTATTACCTCTTCACTGGTCCAAGGCTTTAATTTTTTAATTGTGCAGAAATTTTCCACATAAATGGACACAGTCATTAGCTGGCTCCTTGCCTTTGCCTGTGGGGTTTGTCCCTTGGCCCAAGCTGGTGCTCAGGAGAGTCTGCTCCTGAAGTCATTTGCGTTGGAGCAAACCGTACCTGCTTGTGTGTGAATACGGCTGAGCCTTCCCTCTCTGGGGATAAATGGCAAGAGTTAACCATGTTGGGTGTGTCTGACCGCTGCCAGACGGGGAAGACACCCACAGCATCTCAGACCTGGTAGCTTCTTCCAGGCTTTAGAGGACTGTGGGGCGCTGCTGACGTGGCGGCAGTGCCTGGAGGTGACAGGTCTTGCCCCCGGTGAGGGGCTGGATCAGACAGATAGTAAGGTCGTTACACCAGGGGTGGGATTGGGCTTGGGCTCTGTATTTGCTCACCTGTCTTTGTTGAGCACCTACTATATGGCAGGTGCTTGGAGTTCCAAGGTGGCCACGACAATGTCGTCCTGTCTGTGTGGGGCACACAGCCCTTACCAGTGCGGGAGGCCTTAGGGGCTGGGGAGGTGACGTTCAGCTGCGCTGAGAGGGCCCAGAGGAGGCTGGGCGGAAGGCCAGCTGGGCTAGGCAGACTGGTCTGCACAGAGGACAAGAGGGGACAGCAGCATCCCGGGAACTGGTCGGCTTGCCACGGGAACAGGTGAAGAGCCGAGGGCGGCCGGCAGGAAGTGAGCGTGCGAGGCCGCCAAGCAGCCAGGGCCCGGCTGGGGGCCCCGCCGTGCGCACAGGGAAGAGCAGCTCCCAGGGCAGAGGACGGACGCGTGGTGGGCGCCCCCCGCCCACCGCCCTGCAGCCCAGCACGTGCGGCTCAGGAGTCTGGATTTGGAACCTGGGCCACTTGGGCATCCCTTGTTTCTCCTTAGAAGGGGGTAGAGCTTTCTGAGATGGGAGCCCCAAGTACCACGGGAAGTGGGGAGGGAAGTTCCCCAAAGGGAAGAGCAATGTTGTCCCCGAAAGAAGTAGAGATGGGAACGGGGAAGCCGAGCACTCTTTCTAGAGCCGCAGGCGGGAGGGAGGGCTGCGGACCCTGCAGTTCGAGTCTGGACTTCACCCCAGGCCAGGGAAGCCTTGGAAGGGCCCTGAGGGTTTCAGTATGATCTTGACTCTTCTAGAGACCCCTGTCGTCTGGGTCCCAGCGAGCCCCGCTGGTGCGATCCCTTCCCTGCTCTGCCTCAGTTGGGTCTGGGAAATGGGGTGTTTGCAGTATGCCCTCGGGATCGGTGGCGAGGCTCACGTGAGTCCAGGAGGGTAATGAGTTAGTGACCGAGTGACCTCTGTCAGGGTCGGGAAGGACAGAAAGGAAATTGAGCTTCACCGTTTACACCTTGGCTGGCACCGGGGTCCTTGGTCTGTAGGTCAGAGGATCACGCACCAAAAGTGGGTGCCAAGGACGGAGTAGGAAGATTGGTCCAGAGAGCCTGACAGCAGCCTCCCCTGGCCTGAAAGATGTGTGTGGTTTTTGACTGCCAGTTTTAGGGAACTTAGCTTTTATTAAAAACAAACAAACAAAAACTGGTTAGCTATAAACTAGGTGACACAAATGAACAAGTGACATGAAGTTTCCTTCCAAGAAACGAAGAACTGAAAATAACGCAGGCACTGGTGAATTAGAACAGGCACAGCCAGCACTTTCATGGCTCGGGGAAGCTTCGTGGCTGCAGGGACGACCTGGCTGATCAGACTGAACAAGAAGTTCAATACACACCCACACTCCTGAAACGATCACAATGTCTCCTCGAAAAGGGACATACACCTGCACTCCTTAGGGACGCGCTTTGCCTTAAGCACCCTGTGCTTTGAAACATGAGCTCACGTTGGCAGGTCGCATATTTTCGTTCTAAGAAAACACTCACTGGGGAGTGTGAGACCAGCAGTTTTCACTGACAGGCGCGCACAAGTGGAAGGGCTTGTCGCTGCCTGGAAAGTGGGTCAATGGAAGCTGGGCTGGCACGGAAGGCGGAGCGACGGGTGCTTCCAGCAGCAGTCCAGGGACAGGTAACGACAGTGGCGGAATGGAGATGAGCGGCTGAGCTGACAAGGACCGCTGCCCTGGAGAAGGTGGGCGAGTGTTCGGGGAGGTCGCTGCCAACCCCAGGGCCTTGGATGTACATGCAATAGCAGCCGGACACGGGGTCTAGAGACTTCGATCCTCATCTTCACTCTTCCAAGGAGGGAGCCTTCGAGTTAGAAGTCAGGCTGATCCAACCCCTCAACACCGCTTTGCCTGTGACAGGCTGTGGGACCGTGGCTATGTGACCTCACGCCTGTGCTTTACGTACCTGTAAAACAGGACATAATAACAGGGCCTGCCTCCTAGGGCCGTGAGGATTAAACGAGTCTGTAAAACCGCACAGCACCTGGCTGCTGGTAAACACCCCACCAAAGGCGGTGAAGGTGGTGGACCGGGGTGCGGGGGGTGAGGCCAGAAGAGGAGGAGGTGGCTCCTGGAAGGTGGGGCGGAGGGGCAGGGGGAGGCAGTGGAGGGAGAAGAGGGCTGGGCGCAGGCTGGAGGCATTTCCTTGTAAACCAAGCAGCTGAAGGAATAAACCAGAAAAGCAGAACGAAGAAAGGAGAGAGAACTGGTCTAGGCGGGTGTAAAGTTGACCAGTTCAAGGTGTACGTTTATGTTTTAGGCTGTTTTCTTTAAATTATATTTCACAATCTCAAAGAACAGTAACAACAAATCCCAACAGAACTCACGGGGTGCTGTGTGCCAAGGTCAGCCTGGTCCCCCCCTTCTGGAGCAATTCAGGGGACTAAGGGAGGAGAGTGGGGACCCGCCCCCGCCCCGGAGCCCCAACCACTCAGATTCTCCTGCACTCCTCACCCCGTGCTGGGCAAGAAAGGGGGGAGGCAGCTGAACATGGGCCCCTCAGGGAGGCGCGGTGCCAGGCTGCCCTAGGGGGCAGCAACTCCCTGGTGGAATGGTTGCCCTGTCCCCGGCTTTTGTCCACAGGGGCAGCATCTCCTGTTTCCTGGGCGGCCTCTGCTTCATTGTTATCTGCGGGGTCAGGACCCGCAGCCACTTGCATTATTGATGCTCATTTAAGGCGGGAGACTCAGGAGGGGCGGGGGAGGGCTGAGCCTGTAGACCCCAGGAGAGAAGAAGCAGGGTGGTGCGCATTGGAGGAGTGAGGCAACCGGCGGGCAGCCAGGCCGTCAGGAAGAGAGGACGACGGCACCGGGGAGACCCTCTTCACTGGGCCCTCCATGGGCGGGAGAAAGGGCAAGGCGCCCAGGCGCCCGGAGAGACCCGAGAGGCCAGCCTCGGGGGAGCAGGAGTCCGGGTCGGCCAGCGCGGACGGCGTGCCCAGCGGGGCGCGCCGTCAGGGCCGCGGTAAGGCCCGAGGATCCAGACCGGTCTTGGAGCCCGCCACGGCGGGAGGCCAGGGGACCCCTGGTGGCCGCAGGAAGCCCACCACCGAGGGGAACCGCGGTTGCAGACAGCCAGGGGCTGGGTCTCCACCAACGGCCCAGAGGAGACAAGGCAGCGAGAGGCGTCACAGACGCAAGCTGAAGGAGAGCCGCGAGTCCGGGGACAGCCATGGGGGGCGCCTGGAGGAGGACGGTATCCCCCGAGAAGGTAGAACAGGCGAGCACGGCCACCGCAGGAGGAAAGGAAAAGGGCGCCGACCCTCGGCTCCGCGGGGCCGCCGAAAGCCTCAGAGGCTCGATGGGCACACGTCCGGCGCGGACGGGGACAGCTCCTGCCGGGACAGCTCCTGCCCGGACAGCGAAGCCCGCGAGGCCCAGGAAAGCAGCGGCCAGAGCGGCGGGGCTCCGGAGCTGCGGCCCAGGTCAGAGCAAACGGACACAGGCTCGGCAGGCACCCCGACCGGGCCGGAGTCGGCCTTGGAGCAGGGCGAGCATCCAAGCAGCGACGAGCCCCGGAGCCAGGAAGGGTCGCTGGGAACGGGGCCCCAGGGAGAGACTGAGGATTCCGGGACAGACGCAGACTGGGGTCCGGAGGAGGTCGGGCCTGGACGGGGCCCACCGGCAACCCCAGCATCAGCGGGCCGGGCCCCGGAGGCCGAACAGGCTGAGCCAGGCAGGAATGCCCCGTCCTCCAGCCCCCTCGAGGGCAGGCCCGCGGGAGTCTCCCGGAGCTCCCTGGCTTCTCTGGACCCAAGGCCGACCAGCGACACAAGTGATAAAGTGGCGCAGGCAGAAGCGGAGTCGCGGGACACCGAGCCCAGTGGAGCCCAGGCCTCGACTGCCAGGGCTCCGCGCCGCCGGGTCGGAAAGGTGGTGGGGAAAGTGCACGCGGCGGCCAGCGAGAGCGCCCCAGGGGGCGCAGAGGGAGCCGGGCCCGGGGACCCAGCGCCGCTGGCCGCCCTCGTGACGCTCCACAGGCTCCGCGCGAGGCCCCCACCGGGCCCCGCTGCCCAGGCCGTGGGTCCCCGTACTGCCGGCCTCAAGGAGAGGCTCCTGCGCGTGGCACGGGTCCTGAGCTTCCTGCAATGGCTCTGGCGTCGGCTCCGGCGGCGCGCGAGCGAGGGGCAGGAGGCGGGTCCGGTGGCGGGGTCGAGGGCGGGCGAGGGGCGGAGTCGCGGGCCGGCGCTAAAGCGACGTCTAGGGCTTCGCCTGGCGGGCGTAGTGGGGCTGCGGGGGCGGCCGAGGGCTCCCCCTGGCGTCAGCCGGCACCCCCCGCAGGCCACCGAGAGCCCACCCTGCCACCATCCTTCTCAGGATGAAGACCCCATTCCGGATCCCAAGTTCGCGGTCGTATTCCCAAGGATCCATAAGGCGGGGAGAGCATCGAGCAGCCGGAGCTCAGAGGAAGCGTCGGCCGACGCCCCTGCCGGGGAGGGGCGCATCTGGCCTTGCGCAGGTACCTCAAGGAACAGTGAGGAGCGCAGGGTGAATGGAGAAATGGTGGCCGGTCCCCGTGACGAGCCCAGTGACCAGCCCCCTCTGGACGAGAGTGGCTCCAGCAGCGAAGCAGAGTCCGAGACCTTGGAAGCTGAGGCTCCGGTGCACTGGGCTCAGGGCTCCGACACCCGCGAGGACCCTGGGCTTGGCACAGACGCACTGCTGCCCCAACTCACTTTGGAGAGGAGTCCGGGCCCCTACCTGTCCCAGAGGGAGCGGTGGGAGCCGGAGGATGAGGTCGAGGAGGCGCTGGAGAGGGAGCTGGAGCTGAGCCTTGGGCCAGGCCTGGAGGCGCCATCCTTTCTGGGTGCCGAGGGCAGCAGCCCAGGGGCCGCCCTGGAAGACACCGAGGACCTGGCCTGGCTGCAGTGAGTGATCGAGGTTCCAACTCTGCCATGCCTGGGGCGCGTGGGTCCTCACAGAGCCCCTACTCCCGTTTTCATAAACTGTAGAGGGGATTTTGCCTCACTGAGGGTCGTCTGACTGGAAGGGCAGGGGAGGGATGAACCTCAGATGCCCCTGCCTGGAACTTCCTTCTCTAATCGGCACAAAGCTTCCCTCTGAGTCAGCAGCCTGGCCCTGCTTCTCAGCCCCTCGGGGTGGGTAACTTACTTAGCAGCCCCTCCCCTCTGTTATATGGATGGAGCTCAGATAGGCTGTATGGTGTCCCGAGTGTCTCTGCAGCCAGCGGCAGCAATAACCTAGGACCTCCTCCCTTCCCGCAACATCCTGTTCCTCCACCCCGCTGTCCCCACAGACCGCTGTGCGACAGCTCCGTTCTGCTGTGTCTCAAGAAGAGGTTTCACCTGGGCCGAATCTATGTATGGAGGGACCCAGGGAGGGGATGGTGGGCTGGGACTCCCTTTCCCCTGGGATCAGAGGGCCCCCCAGCAGCCCTGGAGCTAGCTCCTCCTCCCTTCTCCTCCTGGGCGGGGTGCTGAACCCTCCTGGGGCCCACAGAGATGCCGCCATGGTCTGGGCAGGGGAGCATCAGAGCCCCATTCCATTTGCACCTCCTGCTCCCTCCCTGCTCTGTTGAGAGCCTCTGCTTCCTTCCCCAGACATTTGGGGGGCCCCTTCTGCTCGCTCTGAACCCCCGCTGGCCCCTGCCTCTCTTCACACCTGAGGTCCTGGCCAGCTACCGCCCCGGGAGGGCCCCCAATACCACCCCGTAAGTGACTTTCTCCACCAACCTTTTGTTCACCCCTTTGGTGGCTAAGCCCTAGCATGTCCCACTGACTGAGGTCCCGGGGACGGTGGACACACACTGCCCCCGCCAGGAGGGCCCCAGATGCCCCTGGCAGCTTTGTCCTCTGCCCCTGCCCTCTTCCCCCAGACACATCTTTGCCATCGTGGCATCAGCCTATAGCCTGGCTCAGAGCACCGGGCAGGGCACATGCGTTCTCCTCAGGTGAGTGGTGACCGCCTGTGCGGCTGAACCCACAGGCCACACTGAGGGCTGGGGAGGAGCACGCAGGGGTGGGAGGAGTGAGGTCTGCATTTGAAACTGCCGGCCTGCCCCACTGGTGGGTAGCTCGGGGCTCCCGAAGGGCTGTGCTCCTGGCTGAAGTCACCACGTGTGCTCCTTGAATGAGGGGGTCTCCGTGCCTGGGGTCTAGCTTTCTGCATTTCCCGCGGGAACCTCTAGGGTGAGTACCGCTTCTGGTCCAGCACGTCCTCACTTCCCTGCCCCGTGGGGCTATCCTGTGGGCCCCTTCCTGGAGACCTTGCCAGCCCCTCCCTCCTGCAGCGGGCGCAGCGGCTCAGGGAAGACAGAAGCTGCCAAACAGATCGTGCGGTTCCTAGGCAGCCTGGAGCAGAAGCAGACGAGGGACAGAGGATGTCAGGTGAGGGGCAGCTGGCTATTTCCCAAGACCATCCTTCTCCTTTGGGCCAGGAGGGCGGTCTTCAGGTCTGTGGCTTCTCCTCCTGGACAGCCCCAGACATGGCCTACTAGGGGGGCAAGGTGGGTGGGCTGGACTGACCCTCCATGGACTAGCACAGCGCCCAGGCCCAGGGTGCCCTGATCGGTGGGCCCCGCTGCTGCTTCTGGGGATGTTTGAACGCCCTTCCCCATCTAGCTGGACGATGTGCTGCCCTTGCTCGGCAGCTTTGGCCACGCCAAGACGGTCCTCAATGCCAACGCCAGCCGCTTCGGCCAGGTCTTCCGCCTCTGCCTGCAGCAGTGAGTGACGGGCGTCCGGGTCGGCACAGGGAGCACCCATGGTCAGTGCCCTAGGGAGCTGACGCTGCTGCCCATGGGTCCGGCCCACGGTGGGTCCCCTTCTGAGCAGGGCCCCTGGGTTGCATGCACCCTGGGCACTCCTACCCAGTGTCCTGTGCCCACAGCGGAGTCATCGTGGGAGCCTCTGTGTCACATTATCTGCTTGAGACCTCGAGGGTGGTGTTTCAGGTAAGGCCCACCCTGCCGCTCGCCCCTTTCCAGCTCCCAGAGCGGGAAAGAGGGAGGGGCCCCTGTGGCGGGGCTGTGGTCCCTGAGTCCCCAGGCCTGCCTTCCCCAGGACTGGTCCTCGCTGCCCTGGGGCGCAGGACCTGGCCACAGCTCCCCCTAAGCCAGTCCCTATTCCCCAGGCCCAGGCTGAGCGGAGCTTCCATGTTTTTTACGAGCTGCTGGCGGGGCTGGACTGCGTGGAACGGGAGCAGCTGTCCCTGCAAGAGTCGGAGAGCTACTACTACCTCAACCAGGTGGGGGCAAGGTCCGCACAGCGAGCAGCAGGGAGAGCCCAGGAAGGGGTCTCAGTGTGGGGCAGGAGGGGGGGCAGGAGGGGAGCAAGGCCGTGGGAGGTCAGGCCCTGCCCCCACCCTGCTGTGCTCCGCAGGGCAGGGCCTGCAGGCTCCAGGGCAAGGAGGACGCCCAGGACTTCGCAGTCCTGGTGAAGGCCCTGCAGGCACTGGGCCTGTGCCCCGAGGAGCTGACCACAGTCTGGGCCGTGCTGGCCACCATCCTGCACCTGGGCAACATCTGCTTCTCCTCCTCAGAGGTGCGCTGCCCCTGCGGCGCTGGACCCACGGGGCTCGTCTACATAATCAGGGCAGCACTGACGATGCCAAGCGCTTATATCCATACATGGGAGACTGCAGAGCCCTGGGCCCCCCAGGCCGCACGGCTGCCCCGGGAAGGAGGCAGCCCCTCGTCGTTTAGATGAGGAAGCAGACTGGGAATTTCGGCATCTATGCCACCTCCTGTCCCATTAAGCTGACACCCCTGGGAAGCATCCCTGGCATTAACTGAGCGGCTCCTAAGTACCTGGCACTGTGTAAATCACTCTGCATATGTTTTCTCAGTTGGTTCTCAGGGCAGCACCAGCACATAAGGGGTGTGGTTTCCCCTTTTGCAATAAGACAGTGGAGGCTCAGAGAGGAAAGACTTGTCGGGCTGGCCAGCTAGTGAAGAGTCAGGCCAGGGCTCCAGGCAGGGCCCTCGGACCCCAGAGCCGGCTCCAGCCCGCCCGGATCTAGCTACCTTTGGGTGGCAGGGCAGCTGCCATGCAAAGCATGGCCTGGTGCCCGCCCTGAGGGACGTGGCCATGGCACAAGCAGAGCGCTCCCTGCTCCCTCCCTCCTCTGTCCAGCGGGAGTCCCAGGAGGTGGCTGCCGTGTCCAGCTGGGCCGAGATTCACACGGCAGCCCGGCTGCTGCGGGTGCCGCCCGAGCGCTTGGAGGCGGCCATCACCAGGAGGGTCACGGTGAGCTCGAGGGTTCCGGGTGGCGTGGGCCCGACCAGACCAGCTGATGTCTTGGTGCCGTGGGCCTGAAGTACCTTGTGCTTGTCCCTTGCCTCCAGGAGACTCCCTATGGCCCGGCCTCCAGGTCCCTGCCCGTGGAGAGCGCCATTGATGCCAGGTGGCCCTGGGGGCAGGAGGGAGCATGGCCTTGCCGGGCGCTCCGCTGCGCGCGGCTCACGCACGGTGCCCACAGGGACGCCCTGGCCAAGGCCCTGTACTCGCGACTCTTCGCCTGGCTGCTGAGGAGGACCGGCTCGCGGCGGGCCCCGCCCGGGGAGGGAGGCGGCATGGACAGCATCACTGTCCTGGACGTCTACGGCTTTGAGGTCACCCCTGGGGCGGGGCCCAGGATGGGGTGCCCACCTCATCCTGGTTATTTCTGGGGCCCCCAGAAGCTCCAGCTCTCCTGCGGGGGCCACGCGTGAGCTGCTTGCCTGCCGGCCTCTGAGATGCCCACGAGACAGTTGCCCTCTCCGGGAGGGGCAGCCGTTCTGCCCTGCTCTGTCTGGTCCTGACCCGGCCTCTGGACGGTTCTGTCCTGCTCGGCCTGTCCCACAGGAGCCTCCAAGGCAGCAGAAGATAAAGGCCCCAGGCTGGGGCAGCCCCCGCCTCACCGCCCGTGCGCCAAGGCCCTCAGCTCACCCTGACTTTTCCGAAGACCCTGCCTCCTGAAGGCAGGGAGGAGGGGGCTAGAGTGAGAGGGAGCCCCACTCAGTCCCTGGATGGGCCCTGCTCACTGCCCCGCCCCTGCTCTCTCCTGCTCCCCAGTGTGTCCCTGGTAACCACGGCAAGTGTGTGTGCGCACGCGCATGCGTGCTCTTGTGTGTTTTCGAGCATGTCAACTCTCCGTACAAAGCTACAAGAAGTGAGGGCTCTGCTGGGCTTACTAGTAAGATGCCAGGAGGCACAGAGGAAGGAGCCTGTGATGCCTACAGGAGGAATGTCAGAAGGCTTCTTGGAGGCGGCAGCCTGAGCCCTGCTTACAGGGAAGAGGCGTTCTGATAGCCTGTGAGCAGGGTTGTAGGCAAAGGAGCCTCGCAGACCACAGGACGCCCGGGACCAGAGGCCTGAAGTCTCACAGCCACGCCGAGCAGAGGGCAGGGGCATGGGATCCTAGAGGGAGGCCTGACTGGGGCTGGGCAGGACGGCAGCAGCCTGCACGCCACGCCCGGGCCTGTGCACGGGACCCTGCGGGCTGCCGCGGCGGCCCCGGGGCGCCACTGCTCCCTCTGCTGGGGAGAACGCGGGCCGCCCTGTGGGAGCGGGATGACGGGCACCGGGCCTGTGTGCCAGTCCCCCCACCTCGGCGGGCGCCCCCCTCACTGCCCTTGTGTCCGCAGGCGCTGCGGGTGAACGGCCTGGAGCAACTGTGCAACAACCTTGCCAGCGAGCGCCTGCGGCTCTTCTGCAGCCAGAGGCTGCTGGCCCAGGAGGAGGCAAGGCCCCGGGGCTGGGGCGCGGCGGGGCACGCCCAGCTAGTCCCTGGGACAGGGGCCACCTCTGGTGAAGAGAGGGCGCTGCCCTGACAGCTGCACCCCAAGGCCCGCTTGCGATGGGCTGCCTCAGTCCTGAGCCTCAGTTTTCCCATCTGTAAAAGGGGGGCCTCCACCCCTGCCCTGGCTCGGATGAGGTCCCGCGTGACTGTGGTGGGCTCTGTAAGCAGCCCAACGGTCGCTGTCCCCAGGAGGAGTGCCAGCGAGAGTTGCTGCCCTGGACGCCCATCCCCCAGCCTCCGAGGGAGTCCTGCCTGGACCTCCTGGTAGACCAGCCCCACAGCCTCCTGAGCATCCTGGACGCCCAGACATGGCTGTCCCAGGTGAGCACCCAGTGGCGGGGACAAGGAGCGGGGGAGCAATACAGCGATGGGGTCCAGAGACCCTGCCCACCAATCCTCAGTGCAACGTGGGAAGACTGTGGCCAAACGGGGTTCAGCCCTGTGCTGGGTGACCTTGAGCAGGAGGTCTGACCTCTCTGAGGTTGCTCAAGTCCTCACTGCAGAAAGGAGACAGCAGTGCCTGAGGGTGGCGGGGACCGGGCGGGGCTCACGGGAGGCAGGCGAGGGCCAGTGCAGAGCAAACCTCAGGACCACGGCGCATCCCTTCCTCACGCCCTCGCTGCCTGCCTGCCTGCCAGCTCCCAGTTAGGACCCTGCCGCTGCATTACTTATACTTTGTAACACGTGTGTCCATGAGCAATTACATTGCACTGTATTTAGCAGTTACCGTATATTTTTTCACTGGCCCTCCTGAGGTAACCTGGGCCCTCCTCTGAAGGGTTTCACCCTTATCAGCAGCGCCTGGCAAGTGGTTATGGGTTCACTAAATATTGCACGAATGAGTGAAAGAGCCAGGAATTGTGCGAGGAATAAAAAGGTGAGCAAGAGACCCAGTCCCTCCCTTTGAGCCTTCAGTGTAGCAGGAGAAAGGCGTTCATTACACACATGCAGAGCACGCACACACGTGAGGTCACCCTCGTGTGGCCCGTGGGTGGCTGTACTGGGCCACAGGAACACGTGTGTAGATGGGCCTCCTCTGGGAGCTTAGGCTGTTTAAGCTAAATACACCATGACCCCAAAGATAAGGTGACCCTCCATTTTCCCACATAGAGGTTGAAAATGAAAGATTAAAAAAAAATAAAAAAGTAAAATGTGATAATAGTATTTTATTGATCAATACAATATTAATATTAAAGTATTAATATGTAATATATATGGATTTATTATCTATCACAGCAATTTTAACTATTTTTTTTTAAATCTCCTGGCACACATAAACTAATTATTAAAAATCTGTGGCACAGCAAAAAAATCTACTTTTTGCCAATCTGACAAAAAAATGGGTATAATTTTGATTCATTCACACCAGACAGCTATTCTTGTGTTGGCTGTTGTCATTTCTTTATGGACCACCTAAGGGAAAAGAGGTTAGTGCTCCTGACTAAATAGTCAGGTTTTGCATATTTAAAAATTCTTGCGGTGCCCCAATTGAAAATCGCTGGTCTATTATAACAACACACGATGTGATATTGAGACATTACATTCATTTACTAACATGCATATTTGAAATCCCTTACCAGATAAACCTATTGTGTTAATTTGTACGTGATCGCTTTTCCTGGTTCACATTTCACAGTTTTATGAAACCAGTCGCAGGTGTCTGACATTTCAGGGCCACTTTTGGAATCACCAGCAGGGTTTCCTTAGGTCCCCATTCTTGGAAACTGCCCCTTTCGAGTCCGCGTTGGGTGCTGATGACCCAGGAATAGCCACCCCAGGGTGCACGCCCCCGCTGTGTGACCCCGAGGCAGGTGCGCCCACCCGTTGTTACCCGTTCCTCGGCTCCATGGAAGAGCCTCTCTTGGATTGATTGTACAAGTACTTTTTAAAAGATGTGTGTAGAGTCCCCTGTTCCTTCTACAGGATTTGATGGGGCTCATTGGCAGGGAAGGTATCTGTGTGTGAGGTACCATCTTTCTTTCGCAAACAGCACTTTGTTGTGCAAACAGCCTCAGGGAAAGAGAGAGGCGCCCTTGGGAAGGACTCAGGCTGCGTGACTCTTCCTACCTGAGGAAGGTGGGGAACCAGCGGAGCCCACCTCCTGCTCACCGCCTGGCACCTGGGCACAGCGGGAGGGCAGCACAGGCCTCAGAGGGGCCATCTCTCTCTTCAGGCGACGGACCACACCTTCCTCCAGAAGTGCCACTATCACCATGGCGATCACCCGTGCTACGCCAAGCCCCAGCTGCCGCTTCCTATCTTCACCGTGCGACATTACGCAGGGGCCGTCACCTACCAGGTACCAGGGTGAAGCCGGGGCAGGCTCCGGGGTGAATCGGTGAGAGCACTGTGACCTGGTGTTTCCTTTCGGAGTGAGTCAGCCGACAGGGACAGCAGTGGGTGAGGGGACACCCCTCGCACGGCTCGGCCATCTCTCCCCATCTGGGCCCCAGGCCCCGCCTGGTTCCGGGTGACTGTTAGGGGCTGGGGGAGTCGAGGCCACGGGACCCTCCAGGCCAAGGGGAGCAGAGCAGGGGACCTGGCTGCATAGGCTCAGGCCGTCCTCTCTCCTCTGAGCTTCCGTTTCCTTCCTCGTCCGCAAACGGGTGCGAATCCGTCCTGCACAATGTGATGACGATTAAACACAAAACCATGGAAATGGCCAGGCCGGTGCTCCCTCGAGGGATTTTTCCTCCGTCCTGAGTTTCACAGAGACTGCCCACCTGCCCCGGAGGAGGGGCACTGAGGGGACAGGGCCTGGCATAACAAGGGTAGGACCCTGTGACGGGTTTGAGGTGGGGCAAGTCACACAAGGCTTCCTGGAGGAGATGACATGGTTTGGTTATAGAAGAAAATACACAAACTACCCAAACAGGAAGCAAAAGGAGCAAATGTCAGTTATGCCTCCAAAAAATCATATCAAAAGAAAAAAAGGGAACACATGGAGACTGAATAAATAAAACCATAAAACTGTATTAAAGATCCCAAAAGAAGGCTTCAGAATGAAGGGACAAACCACATTCATGCTGGGGAACCCTAATATTGCTCATCCTTTCCCATGTGATCTAAAAACTAGTGCAATTCCAGACATTACCCCAGTGGGGTTTTTATGGCCGGAGGAGGAATGGGTTCTGATGAAATTATTCTGAAGTATTATCCTGAAGAGAAATGCATGAGAATAGCCAATACAATATGGAACAGCAAAAGATTATGGAGGAATTTGTTCTACCAGATAGTCACATACATTTTTAAAGCTCTAGTAATTAAAAGGGTACGGCGTTGATAACGAACAGGCCCATCAATAGAACAGAATTCCAAACCCAAAACAGACCCAAGAAATATGTAAAGGAACGCGGTTTATGATGAAGGCAACCTAAATGTGGTAAAATATACATAACATAAAATTTACCATGTTAGGTGTAGGATTCAGTGGCTTCAAGGACAAAATGTCCTGCGACCGTCAGCTCTGTCCCCTTCCAGGACTTTTTCATCCGCCCAAACAGAAACTCCGTCCCCATCAAACACTAACTCTGGTACCAGCAAATCTACTCTCTGTCTCTCTAAGTTTGCCTGTGCTGGGTATTTCCTACAAGTGGAATGATAACACACACACCCCGTCCTTTTGTGTCTGGCTTACAGCACTAAGCGTGTTTCCAATCCTCGTCCACGTTGTGTCAGAATTGCCTTCCTTGTATGGCCGAGTACTATTCCGCTGCACGTGTGACACCGTTCGGTTCACCGCTCGTCTTCGGATGGACACGAGTTGTTTCTACCTTTCTGGCCGTTGTGGATAATGTTGCCATGAACAGGGGTGGGCGAGCACCTGTTCGGGTCTCTGCTTCCAGTTCTTTTGGGTCTCTACCTGGAAGTAGAATGGCTGGATCACATGGTCATTCTGTGTTTAGATTTTTGAGAAGCCGCCGAATTGTTTTCCTTAGCAGCTGCACCATTTTACATTCCCACCAGCGTGTATGTGGGTTCCAATTTCCCTGCATCCTTGCCAATACTTGCAATTTTCTGTTTATTTTTAAAAAATTATAGCCATCCCAGTGGGTGAGAAGTGGCATCTCATTGTGGTTTTTATCCACATTTCCTGAATGACTAATGATGTTGAGAATCTTCTCATGTGCTTCTGGACCGTTTGTATAGCTTTGGAGAAATGTCTATTCAAATCCGCTGCCCATTTTCAAATTGTTTGTTTTTTTCCTGGCGAGTTGTAAGAGCTCTTTACATAATCTGGGTAGTAATCCCTTATCTGATATGTGAAGTTTTCTTCCATTCTGTGGGTTGTCTTTTTGCTCTTAATAGTGGCTTTTGATGCACAAAAGTTGTTGATTCTGATGAAATTTAATGAACTCTCGCTGCTCTCGTTGCCTGTGCCCCTGGTGTTGCCAAGCCCCATGTCAGGAGCTTTCTCCCTGTGGTCTCTTCTCAGCATTTTATAGTTTCAGGTCTTACATCTCGGTCTTTGATCTATTCATTTGGAGTTAATTTTAATACAAGGTGTGAGGTAAGAGTGCAATTATATTCTCCATCAGGTGGATTTCTATTTTTCCAGAACAATTAATTAAAGAAACAAAGGTGACCTTTTAACTCTGAGGGGCGGGGCTGGATGACAAGAGGACCCACCAGCCTCTACACGCGGCCTTCTCTCCTTGGTGTTCCATCCCCTTCCCCGCATTGTCTTCCCCAGGTTCACAAATTTTTAAACAGAAACCGGGACCGTCTGGACCCTGCTGTGGTGGAGATGCTCGCCCAGAGCCAGCTCCAGGTGCCCGCCGCCCCCCGGCCCATGCCCCCCACACCCTGTCTCCTCATTCGGCCTGGACACTTGCTCAGGGGGCCGCCCTCAAGCCCCAGGCACCGTGGACCACGACCTCCACTTGCCAGGGTCTGGACGCTCTGAGCTGGCCCACCGTGACTCCCGGGGCTGGGGGCAGGCCGGGCTGTGGCCGAGCTCTGGGGGCCGCCGGTGCAGGCTCCTCTCCCCCGCAGCTGGTGGGCAGCCTGTTCCAGGACGCAGAGCCGCAGGCCGAGGGAGAGCGAGGCAAGCCCACACTGGCCTCTCGGTTCCAGCAGTCCCTGAGGGACCTGATAGCCGGCTTGGGCAGGTGAGAGCAACGTCCCCACACCCAGCGGCAGGGAGTTGGATAGGAGCCTGACCTGTACCCAAGTGACCCCTCTCCACCCATCAGGAGCCACATTTACTTCATCCAGTGCCTCAACCCCAACCCGGGAAAGGTGAGCTCCCGGCACCCGGCCCAGAGCCCGCCTCCCGCCCGCCCTTCTCCGCCCCCTCCTTGTGCCCTGCCCTGCATTCCCGGCAGTTTAAGCCCCAGGACAGCAGCCCTCACTGACTCTGTCCCGCGGCCACAGCTCCCGGGCCTCTTTGATGTGGGACACGTGATGGAGCAGCTGCGCCAGGCAGGCGCGCTGGAGGCCATCTGCACCCGCGGCGCCACCTTCCCCGTGCGCACGCCCTTCCACACCTTCCTGGCCAGGTGGGGCTCCAGGAGGGGCCGCCGCGGGCCCGCGCCCCTCAGGGATGAGGCTCCTGAGAAAGGCCCTGGGGGCCCTTCCGGGCGAAGGAGGGCCCGCTCTCCCAGGGACCCTGGGCCTGGCCACCAGCCCTTCCTCTCTTCATTCTTCTCTCTGTCCTTCTCTCCCCCCAGCTGTCTCTCTCCTTTCACAGCCACTGGCTATGCGCCCCTCCGTGCCTCCCTGACTTAATCTGCCTCTCCTCCACTCAGCAAAACTCTCCTGGGTGCCTAGCCCCTTGTAGGTGCTTTATACATCACTGTGGCCTGGGGGGCTGGATGAAAGGAAGTGAAGGGATTAGCAAAGAACATAGATGGGTAACCCGCAGACATGGGCCACAGCGTGGTGACGGCCAGAGGGCAGGGGGCGGGCTGGGTGCCGGTGGGCAAAGGCAGGGGAGAACGGGGACATCTCTAGTAACGCTGACAATAAAAAATAAAAGGTGGAAAAAAATCATTGTCAAACGACTTAGGGACTGAACAGACACAGAGGGGCTCAGGGTGTCAAACAAGAGTGGAGGGAGGTTCGTGCTGTGCTTGGACCACCCTTGACCCTGTGCTCGGGGCAGGTTCCGGATCCTGGGGACCGAGGGGCAGGGAGGGTCCTCTGACCGGGAGAGGTGTGGTGCCATCCTGAGCCAGGTGCTGGGGGCTGAGTCGCCCCTCTGCCACCTTGGAGCCACCCAGGTAGGTGTGTGTGCGGAGGGGTGGGCGTGGCTGGGAAGGGAGAGGAGCGTTCCGGGACAAACCCAGAATCTGGCGGTCAGGAGGTGGAGTGGGCTCGGTGGCACCCGGGAGAGTAGGGCGTCTGGCTGGAAGGGGGAGGCTGAGGCCTCAGGAGAAGGGCAGGGTGGGCCCAAGCGCCCGGCCGCCTGCAGCCCACGCCTCTGCCCCCAGATCCTGCTGCAGGAGCCCGGCTGGCGGCAGCTGGAGCAGCGCCGGGCCCAGCGTCGCTCCCAGGTGCTGCTCACCCTGCACCGCGGCCTCCGGGCCTATGTCTCCCGCCAGCGCCTCCGCCTCCTGCCACGGCTTCAGGCTCGCGTGCGGGGGCTCCAGGCCAGGTCTGCAGGGGTGGGGCGAGGCCCTGGGCGTCCCCCAGGTGGTGGGGCAGGGGTGGGGCAGTGTGGGTCTCGAGGCGAGTCTGCTGCCCCAGCGCCCTCCCGTCAGCACTGGGCCCTCCTCGGCCGTATCCCCGCCCACCCACACGCCCGCGGTCTCCGCTGGAAGACCCTCAGCCACAGGACACCTGTGGTCCGTCCAGGCCACCCCAACCTGCAGCCCCGACTCCCGGGGTGCTCTCTTTCCTGGCCCATGCTTCACTCTGAGGCAAGAATGACCTTTGAAAGGCATGCGTGGGATTTAGGCCAGACTTGAACACTCCAGGCTCTTGGGACCTCCGGGTCCCCCAGCGCTGCCTGCCCCTTCTCACCTAATTAACCCAGTCACCCTTCACAGCCTGTCCCAGCTCATGCATCCAACAGCTCTTCTTTTTTTTTCAAATTATAAGAGAAAGTTTATTTAGACAGTTACAGAGGTAGCAGAAGTGAGCTGTAGAACAAATAGCCCCAGGAAACAAGTTACAGAAGAAAAAGAGGGGCCCTCGGCGCTTAGGAGAGAGAAAGGCGAAGGTACAGCACCTGGGGGAAGAAGAGGGAGGCGGACACGTGGGGGCACTCCCCGGAGCCAGGGCACCCCATCCAACAGCCCTAGACTGACCTCCTTCTCTGTCTCCGCTGGGCCGGATGCTGGCGGCACAGGGACGAAGGCCGGGAAGGTGCCCTTAGGCCGCTAGCGAGCGTCGGATGCAGACAGCGAGCCAGCCGCCAGTCACCCCCAAGGTGACTGCTGAAGCTCGGAGAATGTGTGAGGGCAGGGACACCAGGGGAGTCTCCGCAGAGGGGGCACCCCTCACCACTGCCTGTTTCTAGAATGTTTCCATGACCGACAGAAACTGTAACGGTTAAGCGGTAATTCCCAGTCTCCCTGCCCTCCAGCCCCTGGGAACCTCCAATCGACTTTCCGTCTCTATGAATTTGCCTACCCTCGATGCTCTCTGCGAGTCAGCTCATACAGTATTTCCTTCTGTGCCTGGCTTACTGCACTGAGCATAACGTTTTCAAGGTCCATCCATGTTGTCACATGTGTCAGAACTTCATGTCTCTTTTACGGCTGAATAATGTCCCATCGCACGGGTAGACCACATCTAGTTTATCCACCGAGCCTTCAGTGCGCGTTTGGGCTGGCGCCCCCTTTCCGGCCGTTGTGAGTAATGTCGCTGTGAGCACGGGTGTCCGAGCGTGTGTTCAAGTCTCTGCTTTCAATCCCTTCGGGTCTATGTGAGGAATGGGGTTGCTGGGCCATGTGGTGGTTCTATGTTTGGCATCCTGAGGAGCGGCCCAGCTGTTCTGCGGAGTGGCCGTGTCATTTTATGTTCCCACTGGGAATGCAGGAGGGTTCCAATTTCCCTGCTAGCCAATACTTACCTTCCTTTTCTTATTTTTAAAAATAATTACAGCCCTCCTGTGGGTGTGAAGTGGTACCTCCTGGTGGTTTTGATTTGCATTTCCCTGATGACTAATGATGTGGAGCATCTTTTCCTGTGTTTCTTGGTCGTTTGTCTGTCTTCTTTGGAGAAATGTCCATTTAATAAGCCCTCTGCCTGCTTTGTAATTGGGTTACCTGCCTTTTTGTTGTTGAGCTGTGGGGGTTCTTTATATATTCTGGATATGAAACCCCTATCAAACATGTGACTTGCAAATGGGCCCCTCTTCTGTGGGTGGTCTTTATACAAAGGATACTGTCCTTGATGCACAAAAGCTGCAGACTTACTTTTAACTGTCTGTCTTGCTCAGGGCCCCTTCGCTGAGGAGTCTGGTCTTTCTTATGTTTGGAAAATTCTGAGACATTTTTCTTGGGACACTGTCTCTTCCAGGATCTCCTATTAGATTTTCAGTGATGTCATTTGTCATTTTCAGAGGTTCTACTTCTTAAATAATAATATGCCAGACTCCATCGAAATGCAAGTCAGTTAACATGAATATTGTCAGTCTATTTAATTTCAAAATGAGAAGGTTGTCAGATATTTCTACCGTGAGGATCATCTGCCTAACAATGAGGAAATCACAAGTATTATCTTGGCTTGAAGAGAAATGCAGTGTTTTATAAGAGTGGATTTTTATAATAAACTTCTCCATTAAAAAAATATATAAAACAACAACAACATCTGTAATAATATGCTAGACTCTATTCTAAACATTTATATCTATAGTCCTGGCTGGTGTGACTCAGTGGATTGAGTGCCAGTCTTCGAATAAAAGGGTTGCCGGTTCGATACCCAGTCAGGGCACAGGCTGGGTTGCAGGCCAGGACCCCAGCAGGGAGCACAAGAGGCAACCACACATTGATGGTTCTCCCCCTCTCCTTCTCCCTCCCTTCCCCTCTGTCTAAAAATAAGTGAAAAATCTTTTTTAAAATTTGATATTTAAAAAGTAGTAATAATAAACACTCATGTCTGTAAAAATCCTCATTTTCACAGATGACAAAACTAAAACCCAGAGAGGGAAAGTAACTTATCCAAGCCCACGGTGACTAAATAGGAGGGGAATGAGCCCAGGTGGTCAGCTCGAGTCCAGGGTCATACTCCCCGGTGCTAGACAGCTTCTCAGAGGACCCCTTCTCTCAGTGTCCTGCCCTTTTCCTAAGCCCCCGGGGGCTTCACTGGCCTGGGGTCAGTTTTTACATTCCCGTCTTAGCTTGGAGGATTCAGGCACCAGGTGGGTGTAAGTTCAGACACCTCCCTACCCTCCTCCCGGCCTCCAGGAAGCGGTACCTCCGGCGGCGGGCGGCCCTGGGACAGCTGAACACCATCCTGCTGGCGGCCCGAACCCTGCTCTGGAGACGGCGCAGAGCGCAGGTGAGGCACAGAGCGCAGATGAGGCACAGAGTGCAGGTGAGGCGCTCTCCGGCAGCTCAGGGAAGCAGCCCAGCGCATTGCTGGCCCAGCCAGCGGGGTCTTCACAGGGTGCGCCCTCCTAACCCATCCACACAAGGTCAAGGCCTGGGGCCATCGCTGCTGCAGTTCTTCTTCCCAGTTCTGTCTGCCCGGCCAGGGCAGGCTGAGGCCTCTGGGAGGTAATGGCCTTCCTTCATCCCTGCCCACCCCTCAGGCCCATACTGTCCCCTCCCTGCCTGAAGTGTCTTCCCATCCCCTCTGGACCTGCTCCCCTCTCTCACCTAATGACTCCAATTTGAGGGCCATAAAGCGGCTCAAAGTTCAGTGCCCACATAGTCTCCCCTTCCTTGGCCCCTCCCTGGATGGACTTTGTCCCTGGGACCATTCCTGCCCTGCTGCCTTCCGCCTAGCGCCCTGGCAGACAGACAGTGACGCCCGCCGCGTGGAGGCTGGTGAGGCTCCGGAGGGCTGGGCGCAGGCAGCTGGCCCCTCTGGGTCTGTGCGCGTTCCTCTGCCTGCGCCGCCGCCTTGCGGGGCCAGAGGGGCCTGCTGATCTTCCGTGCCTGGGAGGGGCCTCTTGGCGGCTTGACGTGGCTCCTCTCCGGGACATCAGCTCTTCTTGCATCTCCCTGACAGCTCGGGCTTTGGCGTGGCTGGCACGGCAGCGGGTCCTCCGAGAACGTGCCAAGCATGGTAGGTGGCTGAAGCTAGAGGGAGTTACTGGGTGACGAACCGGATGAATCTGGCACAGCTTGAGGGGCAGCCGGCGTGGCTCCTGCCCCACGGGGGCAGGTCGTGAGCCCCAGGAAGAGGTCTGGGTGCCCTTGGTGTCCCCTGAGGGCTCCTGGGGCCCTGTTTGGGCCAGCATCCATGGTCTTCGGAGGGAACTTTACAAACCTGGCATGGGGAGGGACAGTGGGCACCTGCGCCCCCCGCTTAGTGTCCGGCCAATCCCTCCTCCCCGCCAGGAGCTGGGGTGCCTGGAGATCCCAGACGAGCTGGCCGTCATGCTGAGGACAGCGGAAGGTGAGTCCTGACTGGTGTCACTCTTCTCATGACCCTCCGCAAGGCCCTCTGAGTGTGTAGGGAGGGTCTGTCCCCGCGGTCCCTCCCACTCAGTGATGCTCCAGGCTCCCGGGAGCTCACTGCCCAGCTCCCTCTGCCCCGGGTTGGGGGGCCGATAGTGAGGGCTGGAAGCGGCACCAGAGCCAGCGCATAACCCGGTGTTTCTGGGCTGCCCTCTGGCGCTGTCCCAGGCTGCCAGCACAGTCTGGCCCAGAGCATCACGGAGGCCAAGCCCCCAGAAGTTCCTGCTCGGCCCAGCCTGACCCTCCCGCCGGACATCGACCGGTTCCCCTTCTCCAGCTTCGTCTCCACCGGCTTTCAGGTGGGCCCCTAGGCCTCAGCTCTTCCTGGCCGACCCCTCCAGGTCTCCAGGTGTTAGCCCCTGCCAGGCAGCGGGTCGGCTCCTGCGGCCCCACCCAGCCTCCTCCCTGTCCAGTCACTAGGGGTGGTGGCGGACACAGCACAGCAGCATTGCTCGGAAAGTATTCATTGAACCTAACTGAGTCACCCTCCGGTGCTGCTTAGATTCGTGACGCCACACCTCCGTCACACCTGTGGCAGCGCCGTCCTGGTGAAGTCACATTGCCAAAGCAGGAGTAACGACCAGGGACGCTGGCCAGGCGGCAGTGTCGGGGTCCAAACGGCCTGTAGAGTGTGATCCCAATTGTGTTAGGAAAAACAAACAAAAAGGGTGGGGGTGGGCGTGGCTGGATTTGTGCAGAGAAAGCGGGACAAGAAAGACAGGGGCTGCCACACTAACTGGTTGTACTAGTGGAATGTTAGTGGTGGTTTTTATGCTTTATCCTTTCCCGTGTTTTCTGAGTTTTCCACGTGCATGGGTATCAATGTTCTCATCAGAACAAGCAAAGAAGCTGCATTTTAAGGATAGTTTTCAGGCCAGTCCTTCCTTCTCCCTCTCCCAGGGTGACGCTCCCTTGGGGTCCCCAGGGCTGCCTCTGGCAGGTCAGCCCAGACACCGTGCCACCCTCCTTCCTTGCAGGAGCCATCTCTGCCCACCCCTGGGCAGCTGCTGGCCAAGCCCCTGACCCGGCTAGATGGGGAGAGCCCTCAGCATGCGCTGGATATTAACAAGGTGGTGAGTGACCCACCGGTGGGGGGACGGTGGAGGGCCTGGCCCCCGGTGCTGGCTGGGACCACGGAGCCCGACCGCCCTGCCCTCGCTCGCCCTGTGTCTGCAGATGCTGCGGCTCCTGGGGGACGAGTCCCTGCTGTCCTGGCAGGAAGAGACCATGGGCACGTACCTGGTGAGGCAGGGGCAGCACCGGCCGCGACTGCGGGACGAGCTCTTCAGCCAGCTCGTGGCCCAGCTCTGGCACAACCCCAGCGAGCAGCAGAGCCAGCGCGGCTGGGCCCTCATGGCTGTCCTGCTCAGCGCCTTCCCCCCGACGCCCGCCCTGCAGAAGCCGCTGCTCAAGTAAGGGGCCGGGTGGGCGGAGGCCCCCGGGCGGCGGGGCCGGCGGGCCGCCCCGCCCCACAGCAGCCCTGTGCTGTCCCCCCAGATTTGTGTCCGACCAGGCCCCCAGCGGTATGGCAGCGCTGTGCCAGCACAAGCTGCTGGGGGCCCTCGAGCAGACGCGGCTGGCCCCCGGGACCACACGGGCCCACCCCCCGACCCAGCTCGAGCGCACGGCCAGCCGGCGGCGGGGCCGCATGGTGCTGGACGTCTTCACTTTCAGTGGTGAGGCCCGCCTCCGGCTCAGACCCCCCCGGGCCCACAGTGCAGCCAGCCCTGCCCCTGCCCGGACCCCTTCTGTCCTGTCCTGCTTTGGGAACCCCCCTGGGGACAGCAGCCCCTTCCTGGCAGGGTGACCTCACTGTCTCTCGCTCTTGGTCCGCGCCCCTCCTCCCGTAGAGGAGTGCTTCTCCGCAGAGGTGGAGTCCTGGACTACGGCGGAGCAACTGGCTGGGTGGATTCTGCAGAGCAGGTATGGGGGGGCCTGCGGTGGGGGTGCAGCCCACACTGACGCTTGTTCCATCCTCCTCCTGAGTCCCCCTCGTCCCCTCAGCCCACGCTCCCGCCAAGCGCCAACTGCGAGGCTCCTGCAGGCCCGGGGCAAAGCCCGCTCCCCGCAGGGTGTGGGGACTAAGAGGGCAGGGTCCAGGCAGTAGATTTAAGATGGAGAACAAGAGTCGTCCAAATTCCAATTAAATGGGTAAATAAATAAATGTGTGAGTCAGAGCTGATGTGTAAAGGAGAAGGGTTGTGAGTGGCAAAGAAGGAAACCTGTCTGAGCAGATGGACTCCTCACCAAGCCCGTCCCTTTCCGCAGGTCTGCCCTCAGGCCCTGGCCCTCTCAGAGGGTCACCTGCCTGGCTGGCCACGCCCCTAATGCACGCCCCTGTCCCATCCAGAGGCCTGGAGGGCAGCCCCCGTGGCTGGTCCGTGTCCCTGCATTCCGGGGACTCCTGGCAGGACCTGGTTGGCTGTGACTTCGTGTTGGACCTGATCGGCCAGACAGAGGACATGGGGGATCCTACGGGTCCCTGCAGCTACCCCATCACCCCCCAAAGCTTGTAGGTGCCACCCCAGCGCCCCCATTCCCAGCCTGCTCCTGTCCCTCTCCTGACCCGCCCTTCACAGCCCAGGGTTTACAGGTGCTGCCACAGACCCCGTCCCCCGGCCTGAGCCTCCCCGACTCTGTGGGGACAACCCGCACAGCAGCTTCTCCTCCGTGCCTCAGCCTGGGCGCCGCCGCCAGCCAAGGCACTCGCTTAGCTGGGCCCACTCTCCCCTGCAGCGCCGCGGACATCCCTCCGGCCCCTGGCGTCCAGGCCCCCGCGCTGTGCCCAGGGCCTCCTCCAGGCCCAGCCCCAACACTACCCGGCAGGGGCCACTCTGGTGAGGCCGGGGGTGGGCATGCTGAGGTTGGCTGGGATGGGGGTGCTGGGAAGAGGGGCGTGGGAAGCCCCACGCCCCAGGCTGGCGACGCTGACCCTCCTCCGGCTCCGCAGGGGAGTCCCAGACCTCAGAGAGCGTGGATCGCTACCTGGACCACGTCTTCGAGCCAGTCCTCTCCCCTAGCCTCAGCGTGAGCACCCTGCACACCGCCCCCCAGCCCTGCCCCTGCCCCACGGGAGCCTCTGCTGCCCCTCCCACCCCTCTCGGGGCTCTGGCTCTGCCCCTGTGACCTGTGACCTTTGTCCTTCCAGGACCTGGAGCAAGCCAGGGCTCTGAGCAGCCGCATGAAGGGAGGGGGCGCCATGGGGCCCATGCATCAGGGGAGCTACCCTATGGGTGAGTGTGGGCCCCAGCACCCACTCAGGGTCCCCCCGGCCCAGCAGCCCAGGCGGACATGGCCTGGCACTCCCAGGTCTGGGGTCAGAGCTCCAGCCAGCACCCTGGGCCTGTGTTCTTTGCCTGGGGATGGAGGGAAGGGGACCGTGGGCCCAGGTAGGGACCAACCTGGGAGGGCCCTGTTCCGGCAGCGTACCCAGGGCTGATGCAGGCGCCCGGATACCAGCCAGCGATGATGCCCGCGCCCATGCCCATGATGCCAGCAATGGGCGCAGTCCCTGCCATGCCAGGTGAGGCCGGGCCTGGGAGGGACCGGGGGAGGGAGGGTCCTGCTAAGGGCTCAGAGGGCACAGCGGGCGAGAGGGGGCTTGGAGCTTGGCCACAGGGCTCACCGGCTCCACCCGCCCGCCACACGCAGCCATGGTGGTGCCGCCACAGCCGGTGCCGCCACAGCCGCAGCCGCTGCTTCCCAGCGTGGACGTGAGGCAGCTGGCGACTCAGCAGCAGAACTTCATCAACCAACAGGCGCTGATCCTGGTGAGGGCGGGCAGGGCGCCCGGCCTGGCCCATGGGGACAGGTCTGTGGGGCAGGGCCAGGCCAGTGCTCACCGGGCCTGCCGCTCCTCCCGCTCAGGCCCAGCAGATGACTGCCCAGGCCATGGCCCTGTCCCTGGAGCAGCAGACGCAGCAGCGCCAGCACCAGGCCCGGGCAGCGCCAGCCACTGCCCCCAAGCCCAAGAAGCCCCCAGCCCCCAAGGGGGAGCCCGAGCCGGAGCCCGAGCCGGAGCCCGAGCCGGAGCCGGTGGGTGCCTGCCCGAGGGTGAGGCGTGGAGGCGGGAGACCGCACTGGGCTGAAAGCCCTGGGGTTGGGGCAGGGGGCAGGAGGATGCAGAAGTGTGTCAGTGGGGCCCAGTGCCAGGGATTCGAGGGGTTCACGGTGACGGCGGTGACTCGGCTGACGGAGCTGTTCCCTCACTTCCCCTTCCTGCCAGCACACCTCAGAGGAGACCGCACAGGATACGGACAGGCCCAGGAGCTTCCAGCAGAAAAGGAACTACTTCCAGAAGATGGGTGAGGGACCTGGGGTGGCAAGCCCGTGCAGAAGCTTGGTCATCGCCCCACCTGGCCGGGGACAGCGGGGTGCACTCCACTCCCCTGGGTCTGTGTGGCCTGTCCAGAAGCGTGGATGGGCAGGCCGGGCGGAGGGTGACAGACTGGGTCACCTGGGCACTTACAGGGCAGCAGCAGATCAAGGTGAAGACGGTGAAGCCTCCGGCCAAGGTGCAGGTCCCCCAAGGGGAGGAGCAGGAAGAGGAGGAGCCCAGCGCAGGTGGCAGGGAGATGGGGGAGGGCCTGGCTCTTGGGTGACGCACAGGGTCTCACATGTTTCCACTTCTCTCGTCAGCGCCGTCCCCCGTGGTGAAGAAGCCACCAGCACGAGGTGGGGCCAAAACTGCGCCGAAGGCTGAACCCGCACCGGCCAAGGGGGCGGAGCCTGGAGGCGGCCCCCAGCAGGCGGGGGGCAGAGCTGTGGCGCAGAGCTCAGACCGCTCGCCCCTGCCCAGCAGGGAGATTGGTAACATCATCCGCATGTACCAAAGCCGCCCAGGCCCCGTGCCTGTGCCCGTGCAGCCAGCCAGGTGAGCCGCGGGGGCGGCAGGCCCTGCCCACTCCCCAGGGAGCCGCCCTGTGGGCTCCTGACCTTTTTCTTCTCTCAGGAAGCCTCTCCCAATTTTCCCGAAGAAAAACAACCCTAAGGACGAGGCCCTGGCTAAGCTGGGGATCACTGGCGCCCACGCACCCTCCTCGGTGAGGCCCGCTCTGGCCCGTCCAGCACACGGCTGCCCTGCTCAGGAGCCCGAGCCTCTCCGGGGTGAACTTGACCTTCTCCCCAGACACAGCTTGTGTTGTGTGTGCTCTCTGTGCCCCCACAGATGCCGACCCCCAGCCCAGGGAAGGGCCCCCCACCCGCTGTGGCCCCTCGACCCAAGACCCCCACACGGCTCAGGGCCTCCAACTCCATCAGGGAGAAGCAGGGGCCCCTTCAGGAGCTGTTTGGCCAGAACCCACCCACTGCCCAGGCACCCCCACTTCCACCAGCGCCCCCCCCGCCGCCACCTGAGGACTCAGAACTTTCTTCAGCTAAGCCCCGCGGTGAGGAACCTCACGACCCTGGGCAGTGAGCTCCCCCGTGGGGGCCGGGATCCCCAACAGCCTCTTGGTGCTCCTGGCTGAGGCCAGCTGCTCCGGCTTCTGGACTTTGGAGCCAAGGAGCCCCAGCGTCAGCATTCCCACCCCGGGTAGGGCTTACGTACCCCGGGGACCTGTCTGGCACTGCGGACTGTCACATACGGGGTGTTGTCCTCAAGACAGAGCTGACAGCACTGCCAGAAATGTATTGGCCTTGCTGACGTGGCCAGGGAGGGGCCCCGAATGTCAGGGGCAGCAGGGAAAGATGGAGGCAGGAGGTGGGGCTGCGGGCGGGGACGAGGCAGAAGGCGGTCAGCACGTGGCCCTCACAGGGCCCCTGGGAGCTGAGGGTCCCCTCTCCCTGAGCCCGTCATCCCGCCTCTGGCCCCTCCTCACCCACTGCTCTCGGCACCTCCCTCCACCAGGCCCGCCGGAGCCCTTGGGGGACACGGGTGTCAGCACCCAGCTGCTTGTGCCCTCCGGCAGCGTGTGCTTCTCCTACGCCAGCGCGCCCTGGAGGCTGTTCCTACGCAAGGAGGTGGGCGTGAGGGCGGCCGCGGCCTGGCCTCTCTTTGGGCTGGGGAGGGGGTGGTGGTCTTGGGGGGACCCAGCTGGGGACCCCAACATCTGCTCCCCAAACACGGGGAGCTGCTGCCCCATGACCCACCTCCGCGGGCTGGTTTCCTGTCTGGCCTGGGAGGCAGAGGCGGGGTGGGAAGGGGCTGGGCAGGGCGCCATGCCCGCTCTCTGGCTGTCCCCTGCCGCCTGCAGGTGTTCTACCCCCGGGAGAGCTTCAGCCATCCCTACAGCCTCAGGCTCCTCTGTGAGCAGGTGAGAGCCCCGCCCACCTGCAACAGGTACAGACAGGTTGTGCTCGACCAGGCACGTGTGTTTCAAGCCCTGCCTCCTCTATGTAATCCTCACAAGCCCCCTACAAGTGAGGATCATCATTGGCCCACAACAGGGACTAAAAGTAGTGTATACGGTACCCCGCACAGTAGGCGCCTCCTGGTGCTTGTTCCTTTTGCCACCTCTGGGTGACGCGGGTCCCCCAGACCTCCAGTAGCCTCCCCTAAGTTCTGATTCTTCAGGGAAGCTTCATCCTGCTGACCAAGGGACAGCGGGAGGTTGCAGGAGGCAGGCAGGAGCTCCGGGCGGCGAGGCCCTGGGCTTGGAAGCCCCCATCCCTCCCTGCTCCACCTGTGCCCGCGGGCTCTCCACCTTTTCCTCTGTGTGTGGCTGCTTCCGGGATGGTCTCTGGACCTGGTGGTGACCACCTGGCTCTGACCTCAGATCCTAAGGGACACCTTTTCCGAGTCCTGCGCCCGGATCTCCCAGGACGAGCGGCGCAAAATGAAAGACCTGCTGGGTATGGTCTGGGGACCCCGGAGTCAGGGAACTGCAGTGCTGGGGGCGGGGCCTGCCTGCAGGGAGGGAGCAGACTCTGGGGCTCCCCGCTGCGAGGGAGCCTCAGGACAACCTGTGCCTGCCTGCAGGAGACCTGGAGGTGGGCCTAGACTCAATCCTCACCGCGGAAGACAGTGTCAAGAAGCGCATTGTGGTGGCCGCTAGGGACAACTGGGCGAATTACTTCTCGCGCATTTTCCCCGTCTCGGTCAGTGAGGGGGTGTAGGGCTGGGAGTGGCAGCACCCCCCGCCCCGTTCACACGTGGCCCGGGCCTTCAGCAGGGGTGGGGGGTGTGGGTGGGGGGTGTGGGTAGGGTGGGCCCCAGTGGAAAGATCAAGGCATCTCGGATGGTCGGGGGACCCAGCCGCCTGTTTGCGACCCCCCCTCCTGGGCAGGGTGACAGCGGCAGCAACGTACAGCTGCTGGGCGTGTCCCATCGGGGGCTGAGACTGCTCAAGGTGACCCAAGGCCCCAGCCGCTACTCCCACCAGCTGAAGACTCTCTGCTCCTACAGGTGAGCCTGGGCTATGGGGAGGGCGGGGGGCGGTGAGGGGGTGACGAGGTGGCCCCCAGCTCACGCCCTCACCCTGTGCACAGCTTTGTTGAGGTGCTGGGCGTGGAGTGCCGGGGTGGCTCCACCCTGGAGCTGACGCTGAAGAGGGAGCAGCTGGTGCTGCACACGGCCCGGGCCAGCACCATCAAGGCCATGATCGACCTCTTCCTCAGGGAGCTCAAGAAGGCAAGCGTGGCTGCGCGGGGGGCTGGGCGGGCCCTACCCCATGCTTCATGGTGCCCTGCCCCGGTTGGCTGGTCTTGGGGCGGTCAGACCGGCCCCTCCAAGCTGCCTGGGGCAGGATGAGGCTCTCCAGCTGGTCCCTGGATTTCCGGGGTGTAGAGGCGAGAACTAGGCCAGTGGAGGGGGAGCAGCGAGAGCAGGCGGGACCGGGGTCACAGGCAGGCTGGCTGTTCCCTTGCACGCCGCTCACCCTCCTGCCTGCAGGACTCCGGCTATGTCATCGCCTTGCGAAGCTACATCACCGATGACCGCAGCCTCCTCAGCTTCCACCGTGGGGACCTCATCAAGCTGTTGCCAGTGGCCAACGTGGAGCTGGGTATCGCCGGGGGCAAGGAGGGCACCGGCGCAGGGAGGGTGGTGCGTGGAGGAGCCTCCGGGGGCGGTGGGGCCAGGTGGGTGAGGCCGTCCTCACGTGCCTTCCAGGCTGGCAGTTTGGATCGACCGGGGGCCGCTCGGGACTCTTTCCTGCCGACCTCGTGCAGCCGGCTCCTGCCCCAGGCCTCTCCTCGCAGGAGCAAAGGACTGACCAGCCCAAGAGTCAGCCTCCAAGCAGAGAGCCGGGCCAGGATCGGTGGGAGAGGGCGTTGGAGGTGAGGAAGACAGGAGAGGCTCCGTAGCCCCGGGGCAGTGCCGATCGCCCTGCTGCCCTCTCCCAGTTTCTGGCCTGGTCTCCCAGCAGGGGCCATGCTGCCTGCCCCTCCTGTGTCCCGTGTGGTGCTTAGTTCAGTGCTATCCTAGAAGACGTCAATAAAGAGCTCTTGACTTCCCTGACTTCTGGTGGTGTGCTCACTATAGCTAGTCTGCCTGCTCCACGAGGGCTGTGCGGGGTGGGGCTGGGGCAGGGTCTCGGGGCAGGCCCCTGGGCACTCGGGTGGCACCAGGTCTCCTGTGCCCAGGGCCGTGCTCGCCCCCGGAGCTGGGTGCGCAGTGACAACTCCGAGGCCGTCAGCCTGCCTGCCTCCCTGTCCATGGACTCCCACAACTACACCATGCAGGAATTTGCCCTTAATTACTTCCGGAAGCCCCAGGCCTTGTGAGTGCCCTGGGCCCACCCCGTGCCTGCCTGTCTTCAGTTTCCCGGAAGTGGGCTTCCCTGTTCAGGGCCACCAGGCCACGGCCTGGGTTGGGGCAGAACAGCCGAACTAGCTAGGCTGTGCTCCTCTCTGCCCCCCGCCCACCCAGGCTGGACCAGACAGGCAGAGGTGCTGAGGGGAGAGCCGTGGCCAGCCTGGTGCAGTACACCAAGGTAGGGGGACAGGCAGGGGGAGTGGGGCCAGCGGACCTGCCCTCCGGCACCCACGGCCCCCAGACCCACAGCCCGGCCTCTCTGGCTCCAGGACCCCATCCAGGAATCGCTCATCAGCCTCAGCGACGAGGACATGAGCAGGAAGGCTGTGGAAAGCTTCCAGGGTGAGTGGCCGTCCTGGGGCCCATGTCTGCGGTGTCACAGACCCAGGTACCTGGGCGCTTCCTCTCCTTGAGTTTGCCGACTCACGGTAGCTCGACAGGCAGTTCCTGCACCCCACGGCCTTCACCCGCTTCTACTCCCACCCAAGGGGTTGTGGGGCATGTGGAGGCTGTGCGGGAAGGCAGCGGTGGTCCTGCTCCCCATGCGCCATGTGGGGCTGCAGGCCCCCGCAGAATCCCTCCGAGCCGCGCCTCCACACCGGTGAGGCCGAGTCTGCCGCTCTGCACGGCTCCCACACATTTTGAGAGCCAGGCATTGGCCGGCCGGGGAGAGCCCCTCGTGGGGACAGCGTCAGCCAGCCCAGCTCCCCTTGCTTCTCATCCTGCCTGTAGTTCTGATGCAGTTTATGGGGGACCAGCCTAAGCCCCGGGGCAAGACCGAGGTGGAGCTCCTCTTTGAGCTGCTGAAGGTAAGCAAGAGCTGGGTGCGCTGGAAGCTGGGGAGCCCTGGGGATGAACTCCTGTCCTGAACGGGCCCCCTCCTCCTTGGCCACTATTCATTCGAATCATCCACATGTATCTATGGAGCACCTACTACACGCTGGGGGCGTGGTGAGCCAGGCAGGCTAAGTCCCCGAAAGCTTACAACCTGGTGGGAGAAGAGAGTCAAAACTGCAAGGTTCGTGCGGTGGGGAGTGAAGGTGCTGTGGGGCAGGCAGGGGAGGGGCCGCCCCAGGGCAGAAGGCTCAGCGACAGGCGATAAGGCAGCGGGAAGCTGAGGGAAGCCAGTGGGCACAGAGAGGGGCAGGGGCGATGCCCCTGATGACCGGTGAGACTCGGCGCCAGCAAGGCCAGTGCGGCTGTGGCCCCGCGCGCTGGGGGCGAGTGGGGGATGCACCTGGGAGGGACAGTGGGTCCAGGTCACGGCAGACCTGGCAGGCCATCGTCAGGGCTTTGATGTTTCTCGAGGGAGAAAAGCCCCGGAGGATTTTGAAGAGACATGCGGCTTGTGTTTGCTGGGGTCCCCCAGCCCTTGCTTCCTATCCTGGGGGCGTAAGGGCAACAGAAGTTATTGCGATGATCGCCTGGTGAGGGGCGGGGCTGGCGCAGGCCCACAGGTGGCCGCAGAGGACAGAAGACGCAGCGCCGTGGGTTTCAAGGAGTTGCGGGTGGGGTGTGGGAGAGGGGCCAGGATACCAAGAGGTCTCGGCCAGATCACTGACCATCTTTACTAAGGAGACCTGAGGGAGGCGTGGGCCCGGGTCCGGGCTGCTGGTGGGACTTGGGAAGCGTGAAGCCTGGGGTCCTAGACTTTCAAGGGGAGGGCCTGGGGCTCACGGGAGGAGTCGGCTGGAGGCAGGCCCTGGGTGCTCAGCAGATGGAGGCAGCTGAGAGCACTAGGGGCAAGTGCAGACCGAGGCCGGAGGGCGGTGCAGCCCTCAGAGGTCAAGGAGGCAGGTGGACAGTGGTTGGCTTATTTTTTTTAAAAGACTTTATTTATTTATTTTCAGAGACAGGGGAGGGAGAAAGAGGGAGAAAGCTCAATGGGTTGCCCGCAACCCAGGCATGTGCGCCAACCAGGAATCAAACCACTGACGTTTCAGTTCGCAGGCCAGTGCTCAACCCATTGAGCCACACCAGCCAGGGCTGCAGACAGTGATTTAGAGTGACCAGCTGTGCAGACACGGTCACACTGAGAGACAGAGATGGCAGCCGGGCTGTCACCCTGACGTGGCCCCCAAGCCCACGGCCATCAGCAGGATCTCTCTCTCTCCCTGACGTCAGACCTCGCACCGTTCCTCACTCCCCTGCACTCTGCCCGCCCCCGCTGCCCCTCCCCCAGTCACCTGCCCTTTCTGTCCCCATAGATGTGCCAGGAGAAGAACCTCAGGGATGAGATCTACTGCCAGGTCATCAAGCAGGTCACAGGACACCCCCAGCCGTGAGTGTGGGGGCTGCTGCGGCGGGGGCGGGGAGGCTGGCTGCTGGTCGGGCAGCCTGAGCCAGGCCCTCTGCCCACAGGGAGCTCCGTGCTCGCGGCTGGAGCTTCCTCGACCTCCTCACTGGCTTCTTCCCACCGTCAACCACACTGATGCCCTATGTGACCAAGTTCCTGCAGGATTCAGGCCAGACTCAAGGTGCCTACAGGAGGGGTTTCCAGGCTGGGGGCTTGGTGGCTGGAGAGGGGTTTGGAGAAGCCTGTGACCCCCAGCCTGGCTCCTTCCTGCAGAGCTGGCCTGGAGCTGCCAGGAGAACCTCGAGCAGACAGTCAAATATGGCGGGCGCCAGCAGCTGCCGTACCCTGGCGAAATGCAGGCTATCCTGGTACTGGGGGTTCAGACAGCGGGGTGTTCCAGGCCTCCCTTGGGGGTGGGGAGCTGGAGCCTTGTCCATGGTGGCCTGACCCAGCCACCTGCCTTGGCAGAAAGGGAAAACGGCACGCCTGCTTCTTGTTCACCTGCCCGGGGGTGTGAGTTACAAGACCAACATCAAGACTTTCACCGTGAGCATGGGGCGCCAGGAGGGGCAGGGGAGGCAGGGCGGCTGTGGGCGTCAGCCCTGTGACTCCCGCCCATGTGCGCAGGTGGCAGCCGAGGTGCTGCAGGAGATGTGCGGACAGATGGGCATCACGGACCCTGAGGAGGTGCAGGAATTTGCCCTCTTCCTCATCAAAGGGGAAGGTGAGCCCTCTCACCATGGCGGAAGGGCGCCAGGCTGGGTCCACCTCGTGCCCGCGGGCGAGGCCGTCCCCGTGCTGGGGCTGGCAGGGCTGGGGGGCTGGCCCTCGGTGACAGGGCTGCTGCAAGCTGGGGCTCCGCTTGTAGGCACGCTGGTGCGGCCCCTGCGGCCTCGCGAGTATCTCAACAACGTGGCGGGGAGTCGGGACGCGAGCCTGCACAGCCGGCGGCTCGGCTGGGAGACGCCCCTGCACTTCGATAACCCCACCTACATCAGCACCCACTACAGCCAGGTCGGCCCCCACCGCCCTCCCCGGCCCCAGCCCACCGGGCCCCTGGCCCTCGGGCACCGCAGGCTCACCCCTGCCTGGGCAGGGGGCCTCTGAGCCTCCCTCCCGGTGAGAAGGGACGGTGGCAGGCGTTGGGGTTTCTGGGGCCAGCTGCCTGTCACTGCTCTGCCCTCAGCTGCAGCGGGACTACCTGCAGGGGAAGCTGCTGGTCAGCGCTCAAGCCGAAGCCCAGGTTGCCAGGCTGGCCGCTCTACAGCACCTCAGCAGGGCCCTCAAGGTGCCCCTGTCTCAGTGAGTGTGAGCGCGGCCCCCCGCGCCTCCCGTCACTCCTCTCGTCCCTCTCGGTGCTGGGGTCCCACCTCAGCACCCACCCCACGGGCCTCGCCTTCAGCCCACAACCCAAGGTCAAGGCCACACAAGGGCCAAATACGAACTCTTTCTGGCCCTAACCAGATGGGCCCAGAGCAGTGGGTGGAGGCTGTGGACGCCTGTCCTCCCCACCCCAAGCTCAAGGGCAGGGACACCCCACTCGTGTGCCTGGACCCTCAGCCTCACCCACAGTAGCTGCTGGTCCACTTCCTTCCCACCCGCTGTGTGCCCAGCCCTGACTGACTGGCTGCGTCCTAGGCAAGATCTGCTGGCTTACTTGCCGCAGCCGCTGCAATGTCAGGCGAACATGGCCGCCACGAAGAGCCTGGTGGAGCAGGAGCTGTGGCAGCTGCAAGGATGCAGCGCCCATGAAGCACAGATCAGCTTCATCGGTGGGTCTAGGGCGAGGGAGTTGCAGGAGTTAGGAGGCCCTGGAGGCAAGGGGCGAGGGCAGGGGTCTGAGGAAGCTTCTCCGCCTTCTGTACTCCCGCCTGGCCTGGGGGCCGAAGGGGGGAGGTCCCAGGGCCCCAGCGGCCAGACCGCCCGTCTTAGGCCTCCCTTCGGTCCCCAGAGGGTGTGAGCCAGCTGCCCCTCTTCGGCTACACTGTCTACGTGGTGCTGCGAGTGAGCAAGCTGGCCCTGCCGGGGCCCAGCCTTCTGGGGCTGAACCGCCAGCACCTCATCCTCATGGACCCCAGCTCCCAGGTGGGCCAGGCGCCTGCCCCTGTGCGGGCCAGGCACCCCACGCCATCCCTCTCCCGCCACCCACTGGCTCCCTCCCTGAGGGGGCCAAGCTCTGTGCCTCTGTTGCCCCCAGACCCAGCACTGCTCCATCGCCCTGAGGGACCTGCGTCAGCTCCGCCTGCTGAGCCCCCTGGATGAAGAGGGGCCCCCGGGCCTGGAGCTCAACTACGGCTCCCCTGACAGCCCCCAGACCATCTGGTTTGAGCTGCCGCAGGTGAGTGGCCAGGCCCGGACCGCCCTGGGAGGCTGGCGAGCACTACACCAGGCCTGGCCGGCCCGGAGCCCGGAGCCCGGGAGCAGGCTGGCACCCGCTGCTCAGCTGTGGTGCAGCCAGGGGCAGAGGTGGGGGCTGGCCTGGAGCCCTGCCCTCACCTGCCCGTGCCCCGCAGGCGCAGGAGCTGAAGCACACCATCACCTTCCTGCTGGACGGCAGCGGCCCCAAGGCCCTTTAGGGGCTGGCCTCGCCCCGCGGAGGGGCGGAGAGGAGGAGGGCCCCCTCCCTGGACCAAGTCTCCTCTGGATGGTCTCCCTGGAGTGCTGCCAGGTTGCTGTGACTCGGACTTCACGGCCTGGCTGTCCTGGAACCTGTCCAGCACAGCCCGGCTGGCCCATGTGGAGGCTGCAAGGCAGGGGCTGCTATAGTGACCTCAGCTGGGAAGAACAGTTGCAAGACTCCTTCTTGGGGTGCGTGGGGGCGCTGTAGGAACCCAGCTTGGGCATCTGATGCCGCCCGGGCAGGGGGAGATGTCCACCTGGCCCCGGCGCAGCGCCAGCACGAGCCCAGACCTGGGAGAAGCGGCTGCCGCGGAAATAAAGCTCCTGAGAGAAAAGGGCGGTGTGAGCGTGCGTGTGTGTTGTGACGGACAAGACTTTATTCCTCCGGTAAACGTCTTGGTGCAGCCGGGCCGTCCGGGCCCCGAGCTGAGCGGGAGCGGGGCCTGGCTGCGGCCCCTCGCCCCCCAGAGCTCCTGCGCCCGGAGGAGGCCCCGATGCCTCGCCTCGCACAAGGGGGCCCCGCCCCTGCTCACAACTTAAGTACAAGAGGTGGAGAGGCCACTTCTCCTTCCTGCTCCCCGGGCAGCAGCCACACCGCCCCCCCGCACCCCCCGTCCCTCGAATCTGGGGATCTGACTCAGAAACCAGCCACCAGGGCCAGGAGAGGCTGGGGAAAGAGGACCTCAGGCCTTGCAGGCAGAAAGACAGACAGGCTAACCTCTGGCCGCCGCCTTGGTTTGGGAGGTGTCTGGGGCCGTCCCCACAGCGGGGGGTGGCGGAAGGGGGCGGGGCCTGAGAAGAGAGGTGCTGCTGGCGGTGGCAGGCCTGTCGGCCCTCCCTGCTCCTGAGCCAGGCCCACGGTGGCCCATGGCCGAGTCCGGCGAGGACACTGGTCCCGCCGGGCAGCAGCTGGTCATGTCTGTGGGTCACACAGGCTGCTCCAGTCGGCCTCACTCTCGCACCGGACCCGGCCGTGGAAGAACTGCTTGATGAGGTCCTGGGCCTCCGCCTTCACTGCGGGTTCAGGGCAGGGGAAAGAGATGGCCGGTCTCCTCCCTGCAGGGCCCCTGTGGGCCCCCCGCCCGGCGATGTAGGCACTCACCACTCTGTCCTGGGGAGGACCGCTGAGCCAGCAAGTGGGAGAGATGGCGGGCGAAGCCTTTGAACAGTTCCTGGAGGTGGAGGGCGGAGAGGGGCCGAGAGCACAGGCCCCTGCTCTGCCCTCTGGGCAACCCCAGCCATAACCAGAGGGCAGGGCAGACCGGGGGCGGGGCAGCTGGCCTGTTCCCCCGTGGCTCACACTCCCTGCCCTCCCGCCACGGCCCCCAAGCGTCCTGGGGCAGGGAGGGCAGGGCCCTCCCACCTCGCCTACCTTAGATGCAAACTTGCCCTCTTTGTAGAAAGGGGTCAGGCACTTGACCACAATGTTCGCAGCCTCCTTTAGGGAGATGCCAGGAGCTGGGAGCTGGCAGGAACCCTGGGCTGTGGGCTTGGCGGGGCCCTGATCACCAGCCGAGGTGCTGTCCTTGTCCTCAGCTAAGACGGGGCCATTGGCTGGGGGGCAGGGCCTCTTCCGGGCCTGGCTCTCTGGGGTCTGCGCAGGACCACAGCGGAGGGTCACTCTGGGACTCCGTCGCTGGCCCCCTCTTCTTCTGGAAGACTGGGCCACAGCACCTGTTGGCTCCTTCCAGCCCATCCCACCTGCCCCTGGGGTGGGGAGAGATGATTTTCCCCAAGCCCTGAACCCAGAGCGGGGCAGACATGGGCCTGGGCCACAAGCCTCTTCCCTCCCGCTGGGGCCCCGTCAGTACCTGCTGGGGTCTGGGCCGCTTGCCCCTCTGGGTCTCCACTGCGGGGCTGGACTGGCCTTCAGGGAGCCCCGGAGCCCTGAGTGGGCAGGCACTGGTTGGGGGGGGAGCAGGCGTCAGAGCTCCGGGCAGCAGCAGCACCCTCGGCTCAGGCGGCCCCCGCAGGAAGGGACCCAAGCTACGAGGCCCGGTTAGCGAAGGAGATTCCAGAGGATGCCAGGGCCGCCCGTGCCCTTACCTGGGCCCCTTCCTGGTGCAGCCCTCCATCTGCAGGGGAGCAGCCGCGCATCCCAGGCCTCCATCCTCCTCCCCTGGGCACCGCTCCGGGGCCACGGCCAGGGGTCCCTGCAGCCCATCACGGGAGGGGCTGGCACCATCTGCCCCCGGGGCTGAAGCGAGCGGAGGGGGGCTCTCAGCTCTTTGGCAGAAGAAGCGGGTGATGTTCTGAGAATCCCTGAGGGCCGCAGCGGCTAGGAGCTGCTGCTTCCGGCCGGTGCGGGTCTGGGTGAGGGGACTGCCCCTGGAGGGGGCTTTTGCCTTTTTCTCAGGGGAGGGCCCCCCACAGTAAGTGCTGCTTCCGGGGGCTTCTCCTCTGGGCCTGGGGGCGGCCTCGCTGCCTTCCTCATCCTGGAGGCCGCAGGGCTGGCTGGGGGGCTCCCGCACAGGCTGGGGGGCGCGTGCCTCAGCCCGGGTCTTCTCCATCAGCTCTGTGGCCGTTTGGAATGGGCAGGAGCCTTTGGGGAAACCAGCTCCCACGCGCTTGGGTTTGGGCTGTGAGGAGGGGAGAGCGGCTCTGACTGCCAGGCCCCTGCAAGGGCACTCCTGGCTGGCCCGGGTGGGGCGGCGTCGGTGGGGCCTCAGAAGCAGGGCAGCAGAAGACAGGCCGACGCCCCCAGGGGTCAGGCGGGCGAAGGAAGGGCCGTGGGGCTGGAGGGATACAGCGGGCAGAGCAGAGCAGCTCACGGGCCTGCCCTGGGGCACCCGAGGGTCGGGGCTGTGACGCCAGGCAGGGCAGGATGCTGCGCCCTAGCCGAGGGCCAGAGGCCGTGGCACCCTTCCCAGGCCCAGAGTCGGGGGGACGCCAGGGCGCTGCTCACCGAGTACACCTGGGAGGCCGGCAGGATGTCGTGCTCATTGGGCTCCGGGGGCTCGGCCTGGGCACCGCCACTCTGGCCAGCGCCTGCCGTGTGGTAGAGCTGCCCGTCCTTGGAGGCTCTGTGGATCTCGGCCACCTGGGGAGGCACGAGCAGGCCTGCCATGCACCCGCCAGCTCCTGACAGCCCCCAACCCAGGCTTTCCACAAGCGGGCTCCACGGCCCACAGCTACGGGCAACTGGACACTGGACAAGCTCCAGTCCTCATGGGCCAGGCTGGAAACACCCCCAGCTGGCAAAGGAGGGAAGTCGGGCTCCCCCCGAATAAGTGGTCTCTGGGGTGAGGGGTGGAGTCTGGGCTGCCTGGAGGTGTGGGGCGGCCTCTCCCAGCCTCACCGGGCGCCCGCCCCACCCCGCCCGGGCCCACCTTCTTCAGCACGCTGGCCTTGTACAGGTTGGCTGCCCTGGCGCTTCGGAACATCTCGTGTTCCAGCTGCACGGCCTCAGCCTGGAGGTCAGGTCTGAGGGAGGGAATGAGAGGCGTCGGGCGGCCTGAGCCCTCTCCCTGTTGAGCCCCTGCTGGATTCTCCCTGGGGACCCTGGAGATGGTTCAGGGCCTGGGGGCAATGGCCTCAGGTACGGAGATTCCAACCTGGGCATTTTGGGCAACCTTCAGCCCCTCGGTTGTGGCCAGGCCTGCCTCCCGGTAGGGCTGTGCGGACCCGCATGCCCCAGGAGCGGGCTGGGCCACAGGCAGGGGAGGGGCTCCCAAACATGCCCAGGGTTCCTAGTGTCCAAAGGAACAGGGCTTGGACAGTTCTGCACGGCCCAGGGCACTCACCGGTCAGAGGTGCCCGCGGCCTGGCAGTTGCTGCCCAGAGCCTCCTCCAGAAGCCGCAGGCAGTGCTCACGGGCCTGCGCGGGGAGAGGAGCTGGTCACACGAGCCCCCAGGCTGGGGGGCTGGGGCCGGAGCCACCACCTCCTACCTTCACAGTGAGCCTGGGGATCCTCCTGCTAGAAGCGTCTTTCAGGGGGCAGTCCTCATCTGGGGGAGAGTGGGGAGGTTCCACCACATGGCCTCCTGTGCTCTAGAGTCCCCAGCCCCCGCAAGGAAGTATCCCCCCTCCACACCCTGGAACCCCCTACAAGCCCCTGGGGACATTTCTGTACCGACCTGGGGGGACGAATTCTTCTCTCTTGGCGTCTTTGCCCTAGAAGAGGACATGAAGAGCTTGTGAGGCACCCTGTCCACTGCAGGAGGGCCCCGTTCAGCACCAGGGAAGGGCTTGCGAGGCTGTGAGCGGGAGGCCACTTGGGACCCCACAGAGCCCGCCCCTTCACCTTGCGCAGACTCATCTGCCTCTGGTAGAAGAGGTTCCACTCCCGCTTGTGGGCCTCGTCTCTGCCCTCGTCGCCGCTGCCTCCGGAACCTTCGTCGTACCTAGGGGAAGGCTGGGCCTGAGCAGCCCCGGCCTGGCCTCCGCCCTCCCTCCACACCCCGGGAGTGGCAGCCATGTTCCCGATGCCCTGGCAGCTTGGACAGTACTGAGGCCCAGCCCTGGCATGGCCCATGGCTCAGAGGGACGGGCTGTGGCATGGCGTCGTCTCTGCTCTGGCCTTGGCACCAGGGAGAGAATGCCAGCCTATTTCCAGGGGGCGGGGCCCCTGGCTTCACGGCCCCTCACCTGCTGAAGCCCCCGTAGCCCCTGCGGCCTCCCTCATACAGCTCGGGGTCGAAGCCGTTCTCCTGGGAGGGCCGGATGCAGGTCTTGCTCCAGCTGCTTGCACGCTCCAGGGCGTCCAGCTGCTTCCGCACAGCCGCGTGGTTCTGGCAGTGGTCGCAGCCTTTGGTGCAGGCAGGGGGCGCATCCCCAAAGTACTTGGCAATGGCAGCATGGCGACACCTGGAGCAGGCAGCAGGGCAGAGGTGGGGATGAGGGGCCGGGCAAGCCCCAAGCTCGGGCCGAGCACTGCTATGTGTCTGGACCGCGCTAGGCGCCGCATATGCCTCCTCTCGCAGGGCCTCACAGCATTTTGGTTGCCTGTTTACCGACGAGGAGGGTGCGGTAAGGGCACCTTCCCATGGCCATGAGGCACACGGGGAACCCAAAGGAGCCATGACGTGGCCCTGCCTCTGCCTTGCTTCTCTCCCTGTGGACTACTGGGACCCGGCCCTATCCCCCCACTGGCGGAGCGGTTCCGGAAGGGGCGCGGGCTCTGGGTGCAGAGGCTGCAGCCCCAGGAGAGCATCTGACCTCTGCAAGCCAAGCTCGCGCCAGTGAAGCGGTGCAGGGAGGGCGCCGGCCCCTCGGGCTGTGGCAGAGCCCACGAGACCGCACTCATTAAGTGCTTCCCACAGCCTGGAGCCCCGCAGGGCTCACGGTTACTACCTGTCACTCTTTGATGCAGGAGGTGGCCCCACCCTGGCCCCTGGCCGCAGTGCTCAGCTCTGCGTCTGTCTCTTAGTGACCTCTTCCTTGTTGTCCCCAGCAAGCCTCTGCCTGGCCCAGTGTTCACTGCCCGGGGCGGGGCGGGGGCAGGGGACTGGAACCAGACAGCTCTGAGAGCTGCGCTCTACCCGGCCACCGTGAGGCAGTGAGGAGCAGCCTCCGCCCCCTGGGGCCAGCTTCCCGCTGTCTCTACTCTGACTCCCCGGGACGGGGGCACAGTCAGTCCTTGGGGCAGGTGCAATGGCTCCAGGGGCGGGGGCCACAGCTCTGTCAGGTCCCTTGTAAGTGTTCAGTCCAGCCGCAGGAATGTGGCAGTGTGGTAGGGAGCAGAACTGTCCAGGTTCCACATCCAGGGACAAGAATAGCTGGCGCAAGAAACCCTTTAAGCAGCTGAGGCCCTGAGGAGCAGGCTCCAGGAATAGGAGCGGACTGTCACCCAGCCCCCAGGAAGCGGGTCTGGCTGCCTTGGTTAGCTGAGCAGAGAACGCACTTTGAACAGCCCGAGACAGCCAGGTGGCCACCAGAGGGCGCTGTCGCCACTGCTCCTAAAACCCATGTGTATGGCCTTCTGTCGCCAGAGTCTGTACCTCCGCACCGAGGCCGCAGGTCTGCCTCTGGGAGGATCTGGCATCCAAGCGGTGTGGCCACAAGGTTGGCTTCCTAGCCCTACCCTCTCCCAGGCCCTGACTCACTGGGGTTTTGTGCTCGCACTCAAAGGGCTCCATTGATGGCTAGAGGAGGCAGGCTGGGGTGCTCTCCGGTCCTGCTCCTGGCACCGGCTGGTCCACCAGGGCGGCACACCCAGCCAAATGTCAAAGGGCCTAGCCAGCCAGTGCGCTGCTTGGGAGCCTGTCCCCGACAGCCCGGCACACCCGCTTTGGCAAGGAGACCCACAGAGCTCTTCCAGACCCGGGAGCTTGAGGCACATCTCCAGCAAGCAGGGCCCCCACAGGCCACTCCCTGGTCACTCGGGGGCTCCCAAGTTCTTCCCCAGAATACCTCCCAGGGGGCTAGCTTCTTGGGTGGTCTGGCCCCTCCCCCACTATTTACTTTCTTTCCCCAGAGAGGCTGGAGGGAGGGACCAGCCAGGGAGTTGCCTGAGGTGCAGGCTGGGTGGTGGGGGCTGGAGCCAGAAGGCCCCCACTAAGGGTAGGGCGGGGGCCTTAGGGGTGGGCACAGTGGGGCCGCTCCGCCCTCCCCATTCCACACCTCAGCGGGGACCTCCCTGGGGTCACCTCTGCCGGGGAACAGAGGGCCGACCTCCGCTTTCATCAGCTCCCAGCCCAGGCCCAGCCCACGTGGCCTAGCACACACCCACCAGGAGGGAGAGGAAGAGGAGGAACAAGCAGAGGGAGCCGGCCAGTTCCCGCAGGCCTCCTGGGGCAGGGCAAGTTCCCAGCAGGGCTCCCTGCCTGCACCCAGGCAGCGGAGGCACCGGCTCCCCCCTTAGTGGCCGCCCTGTGTCATTTGACACTTGGATCTCCCGGACGACCAACAACAAAAAAGCTGAAGCCCAGATAGCAGCTGATCGAGCTGCTGGCACGGAGGAGTGGCACCCAGGGAGCAGCACTGGGTCACGAAACAGGCGTCTGAGGAGGAGGGGAGAGGTGGCGGCAGGCCGAGGCCAGGCCTGAGAGCAGAGGTCCGCTGACACCGCCTGGCTCCCAGCGCCTGTGTCCACCCCGGCGCCGACACCTGAGCTCCTAGGTGAGAGCCACGGGCGAGGGGGGAGGAAGGGAACAAAGCAGCAAGGGTCCCCTGCACCAAGGGTGGAGGGCCTCAATTTACTATGGGGGACACATTTGGCACAGTCTCCGGATGGCCTCCAGTTCAAACCTGGGCTCTCCCTGCTTTTGCTGTGACCCAGCAGGGCCGAGGCTGTAGCCTCTTTGAGAGTGGCTTCCTCCCTGCTTGCTGAGCAGGCCGAGGGGCCCAGGGTGCCTGCTTACTCTGCGAGTGAGTTTAAGCCTTTTCCATTCAGGGGGCTTACACGACGGATTTGGCTGCCCCGGCTACGGGGAGAAACCTCGCCTGGCCATCGAGCCTCCCTTTTCCCAGGATCTAGGCAGAGCGCCCCCACAACCCCGGCCCTGCTTTCCCCCAGCCCAGGAGGCTCAGGGCAAGGTCCACCCAGCCATTTCTTACCCCTCAGGATGTGGCAGGACCCATGGCAGCTCTGCCTATCTGTGTCCCAGGCCAGAGCGGCAGCTGCCTCCCACCCCCCGCGAGGAGCTTGGCCAGCGCACTGCCAGGTGTCTTCAGCCCAGGGCGCAGCTCAGGCGTACCTCCAGGCCCACTTAGATGTCCACGAGTCCTGGGGTCTCCCTAAATGCTGCGCCAGAAATGAGAGTGCCGGACTCTAGGCCCAGGGTCAGGTGGGGAGAGGGGAAGACGGGGGTACTGAGGCTGGGGGAGAGCCCGCCTGGCAGCTGGGCCCTCTGATGCACCACTGTAAGGCTGACCCGACCCCACGGCAGTTGTCCGTGCAGCTCGGAGATGAGCCCTCCTGGGCTGGGCCCGTGAGCCACGGCCGGCTGACTCCTCCTGCCCCCCTGTCCTCAGCCAGGGTTAAAGTTTCCCTCTCCGTCCTTCAGACGTCTTCCCCAAAGCAAACAAGCTAGTATCTACTTAGAAAATACACGACGCAGGTAAAAGTGGAAACCAAGGATCGGTCCCAGAGTTCCTTGCTCAGCACAGGTGGTGCAATCTGGCCTGGGCTGGTGGCCGGGGAGACCACGGGCCCTGCGGCAACAGGTAGCACAGGGTGGAGAGGAGGGACGGGCGCTGGGCTGTGCCGGAGGCAGCCGGTAAGGTGCTGTGGGAGGAGCCATGGTGAGCCCGTGGCTACCCCTGCTGGCTCTTACCCTGAGACACCCCAGGCAGGCAGGCGGGAGTGGGAGTCCCTGTGCCCACAGGACACAGGTGGACAGGGTCCCGCACACAGTCCCTGAGCTGGCACAGAAGGGTGATGCCCAGCGTCTGGGGCTCTGAGAACGATCTCCAGCAGCACAAGCGCCTCCTCTGGCCCAGAAAGGCTACAGGGCTGGGGAAATGGGGCCCGTGGAGGGTTCAAGTGTCCACTTCCCACAGCGAGTTGGAGCCAAGGCAGAACAGGGCATCATTGGGAAGGCTCTGCGCGGCCCACAGTGGCACCTCTGCCCTGCTGGCCAGGCCTCCAGACCCCACAAATCTCCCAGGTGCTTAGGTTACTATTCATTCTAGCTGTTCCTCAAACAAGACAGCATCCTGGGGGTGAGGGTGGCCAAAAAGCACCCTGACAAAACAACGGGGGCAGAGCAAGGAGCCCTGAGGGCCATGAGCACCACCACCTGTACCTACCAGTCCAAAAAGCACCTGCCTGCTGCCCCTGGGGAGCTGGAGTGTCAGTTTTGCAAGGAGGAACCGGAAGCTGCGGTGCCTGTGGCAGGTACTTGGCCTGACCGCTCCGCTGCGAGGTGCTTTCTCAGGAGATAACACAGACAGGAATGTCTCCTAGTCCGCCCGCCCTGCCAGCCTTCCTCCCTGCCCTGCCGACTCGCCCCCTACGCTGGCAGCCACTCGAGCCTGAAGCCCCCTGGAAAGGCTCCCCACAGGGCCCTGCAGGCAGCTGGGCTGCTCTCCAGTCTGGGGGCTGGGAAAGCTACCACCTGCTCTGGCTTTTTCAACGGACGCGACATCGAGCACGGGGGTGGGGGACCCTGGTGTCCCCGGTTCACAGGCAAGACGTACAGCTTGGGAGGAGTTTAGTGAACCTGAGGTAGAGCAACCAGAAGGACAGAGAATTCTCAGTCGTCCCACTGGACTCCCCTGCCCGTCTCCGTCCAACCTGGGAAGGTGCGGGGAAGAGAGGCGGCTGGCCCCCGGGCACCCACTTTCCCCAGGCTATGGCTGGGAGCACTGAGGGCTCCCTGCAGAGCAACAGCCGGGGCACAGGCCGCTGGTCACCTGCCGGCTGCCGGCTATACTGGGCACCAGGCGTCGGCGCCCCCCTTTGCCTTGCTTTAAATAGCCTGCCCGAGTCCCACTGGAATGTGCCTTCTCCTTCCCAGGAAAAAGAGGCCCTTCCACCTCCCCCATGGTCCCTGCTAAGGCTCCTTCTGCTCAAGCCCAAGCTGGAAATAACAAAACCTCAACTGAGGAGCCAAGGGGGCTCTTCTTCAGTCTTTGGGGGCAGAAAAGCCTCATCTGGCGGCCCCACCCCTGCTCCCAGCACAGATGGACCCAGCGAGTGGCCCTGGCCTGGGCAAGGCTGGCTGACGCGGGTCTCCAGAGGCCCTGGGTGCGAAGCTGTGACGCTGTCCACGTCTGTGGCCTGCTGCTGCTATGGACCAACAGGCTTCCCGAAATAGGGTGCGGGCCCCCTGGGCAGGAGTCTGCAGCTTTCTGACGTCATAAGTCCCTGGAGTATAGCTGACTTTACAGCTGCAGCTTCTGATCAACAAACCGCGCCCTGCACAGCAATTCCGCTTCTGCCCAACCTGGGCCACCTTCCCCTCCCCTGCTCTGGAGGTCACGCCCCCCTGGGAGCCTTCCTGGGTTTTCAGCCCTCAGAGCACCAGTGGAGAAGCTCCCCCTGCCCTCCGTCCGCCGCTTTTAAGGAGTGTCTGATCCTCACAGCGGGCGATGCAGGCACTGGGCCAGTCAGGCTGAAGACGCCAGATCGCTGCAGCTGACATGGGAGAGGAGCAGCTCCGCACCTTGGCCCGCATGTGCTTCTTCAGGCCTCAGGCCCCGGACTGAGCCCAGCCGGTGGGCTCTGGGCCACCTGGGGACCAGGGGGGCAGGGATGCCCACAGGCCCCAGAACAAGGGAGGGGCCTGCTCTACTGGTCAATGGGAGAAAGTCTGTTTAGGGACCACAGGAGAGAGGTCCTATGCTTGGGAAGGTTATTTGGTCGCCCTGAGATAAAAAGACACGCAAGATCTGTTCCTCGGTGGTCCTCATAGAGCAGGTGTGGCCTTGGCCTGGTGAACAACGCTCCTGATAAAAGCAGAGGCCCAGGCCCAGGAGGGTGGGCTAAGGCTGCTCTCGCAGAGCCCACCAGTGGCCCGGGTCACCGGGCTGGCCCACCGCGCGGGCAGTGCCATCAGTCAGCTGTCCTAGGCTGACTTATCTTGCGGGTCAAAGAGTAAACTTCCCGAGACAGGCCTCCACTGAGAGACAGTGTAGGGCTGCAGGGGGAGGGCTGGCCAGACCGCTGTCCTGCTGTGGGGTCCCGGAGACGCCCCCCCCAGCTCTCCGTCTCCCCGTTTGTAAAGGAGAGGAGGCAGGCGCGACGGCCCGTGGCGCTGTAGGAGGCTATGCCTCAGTGCGTCTGAACACTGGGATTCGGCCCCCTTTGCAGAGACGTGCTGGCCCTGCTGTGGGGTGTGGGGGAACGCGGGGGCTCCAGGGGCCTCCCCCTTCTGACCAGAAGCCGCTGCCTGGCTTCCACGGCGCCCGCACTGTCTGCGGCCCCCACTGCCACGTGAAAACCGCTCCCCGTCTCCAGCTCGCCTCCGCTTCCTTCACCTCACACACCACGGGCATTCCGAAATGAGGGACCCAGATGAAGCTCCCCCAGGGTGTTTCAGGAGGGTCACCGACAGTGTTCGGGGTGGTGTAACTACCCCCAAAGGCCACCTCGACCCTCCTGCACTGGCCGGACCCTACCCAGAGGCAGTCACGTGAGCTGGGCCCCTCCCTGTGCCAGCCTGGTGGCCTGGACAGACAGGCATGAAAGGGAGAGAGCCTCGGAGATAAAGGGACTCGTCCAGTCACGGAGCAGGAAGGGGAGGCAGCGCCCAAACCACGGACAACACAAACAGTGCTCTGCGGCAGCAACTGACAAAGCCATCGGAGAACTTATCTCGTGGAGAAGGCGGTGCAGGCGGCACGCACCAGTGGCCTGCCAGGCGCTGAAGGACTGGGGCAGAAGAGGGGCAGACGTGTCCTAGGGCTGCAGGAGGGACTCACGGTTCAGTACAAGGTCACACCCTCCGTTCATCAGAGCTGCCCCAAGAAGGAATGGGGCGGGTTGGGAGCCAGGTGGTGACACTTCCGGGCGTGACCAGCTTCGCAGACTGCAGCCATCTCGGGAAAACCCGCCTGGCTGAGACCAGGGACACGGCGGCAGTAACTAGAGCTTAAGGTCTGGCACATGCCCCTGGCCACCTGTTAGCCTCCCTTGGATTAGAGCTGCTTTGGAGAACAGGTTCAGCCTGGGTTGGCACACGGCTGTCCCTGGTCTCTAAAGGCCATGGCTCCCTGTGCCCACAGGTGAGGTGGAGCGGAGGGGGCTCTGCTACACATCACACCCTACGCACAGGCTGGGCCTGGACCTTCAATTTGGCCCCCTGGGCTTCCCAGACAGGAGGAGCTGGGGGCACTGCGCTGCCACACACCTGGGGCAGGTACGAGAGCAGAGGAGACCCTCCCGGTAGCCCGGAAGAGCAGGTCCAAGCCAGCAGGGGAGGGAAGGGCTGGCTAGACCAGCCGTGGGATGCCCGATCCCATTATGAAGAGGACCCCTTGGGAAAAACTGGGGGGACAAAGTGTCATCTCTTCCTCCTCACAGAACTCCGTAAGAACAAAGAAACCGGGCTGGTGGGAGAGGTCGGGGGCAGTGCCATCTGGGTGAGGGCGGGGGGCCACCACTGAGCAGAGGGGCCCCATGGGCTCCGGCCCTCCCACCTGAGCTGCCAGGGCCGAGATGGCTGAGACCGGACAAACTTGTTCTGCGGGCTGCAGGGGAGCGAGAGGGCGGATGCTCTAGAGCCAGCCCTGTAGGGACTCAGGCCCTGTCTCTGTTCAGCACAGCCGGCAGGAACCCCGGCAGGACCCCCAGCAGGACCCCCGCTCAGCATGGCGGCCACCGACTTCCTGCAGGAGATGAGCGCGGTGGGGGAGAGGCTGCTGCTCAAGCTGCAGCGGCTGCCGCAGGCCGAGCCCGTGGAGATCGTGGCTTTCTCCGTCATCCTCCTCTTCACAGGTCAGTGGGGCTCTCTGGCTCTCCCAGGGAGCCGGCAGACAAGACCACGGTGCTCGCCAGAGGGCTGGCGGAGGTGGCGTGGTGCCTCCCAGGCAGAGGAGGAGACGCAGAAGTCCCTTGAGGGGAAGCAAGGGATTTCCCCCAGTCCTGCTGCACGCTGCTTGGGTGACGGGCTGGGTGGCGCCGGGCACCAGAGGCAGCCCCGCATTCCGGCCCAGGGATGCAGGGAGCAGGGCTCTGGAGGCCGGACGCGGCATGGCAGGGAGGAGGCCAGGGCCCCGGTGGCCGGCACGGGGATGGCTGACGCCTCTCGTCAGACCCTGGGGTATTTCTGACCAGTGAGCCAGGCCTTTGAGTAAAGGCCCTCCACACGCCCAGAGGGGCTGCTCCGGAAGGAGGCAGGCATCTTTTCTCACCTCGGGGTTCCCTGTGCCCTCTGCCTCTCTCCCCCAATCCTCCAGCTACCGTGGTGCTGCTGCTGCTGGTGGCCTGTAGCTGCTGCTGCACCCGCTGCTGCTACCCTGAGCCGAGAAGCAGGAAGGCCCAGGTGCGGCCCATGACCCCACCGTGAGGGACTGAGGGCTGGCCGAGGAGACGCTGGAGAGCTGACTGCCAGAGCCACGGCCCAGGTCAACCCGGCCCTGCAGCCCTGACCCCTCGAGACCAAGATCTACTGTCACAGCGCTGGCCCTGCCCAGGAACCGGACCCTCATACGGGGAAGCTCATCAAGGGAACGAGGGTTCCAGTCACAAGACCTCCCTCCCCCTGCCAGTGAACACGGTGCCAAGGAGGAGCTGACCACTTCAAGGATGGAGGAACGCACCAGAGTGCTCTGCCTGCCTGCGCTTTTTAACAAAACACGGAGGTGGGGTTGTCAGCCTGTGGGGAGCTGGCCTTGGGACCCTGCTGAGCCACGCCAAAGAGGAGCCCACCCACAGGGACTTTACGTAGTGGCTACTGGATCCCCTGCTCCCCACCAGAGTGGGGGGTGCATGTCAGTATCCTAGTCCAGTGTTTGCCTGTTTCTTCCCCAGAAAAAGCTTTTCTGTTACGTGTTTCTGTGACACCAGGCTCCCCAGGCTGTGTGCTGTGCATCGGCAGGGCCGTGTGCCAGAATTCAGCGGCGTGACCAGCAACTGCCCTTTCAGGCCTCCGCTCCCCGTGCCCAGGAACGCGGCGGAAATGTGCAGGCAGGAATGCCGCCCAGGAGGGGATGCCGCGGAATCAGTGAGGGGTGCAGGGGCACTCCCGTCAAGCACTAGCTGCTAACAAGCCCTGGCCCCGCAATCCCACCCTACAGCGATGGATGCTGTGTGCACCCAGGCAGCCGCTGGCTCGGAAACACCACTGAACAGTTCCCACGGCCATCACCTTTGGTAGGCACACCCTGCTCTGGCAGGCCCAGGCCCCTGGGTCTCCCCAAACTTCCCGAGCAAGAGGAGACAGGCCAGGCCCCTGGCGCTGTCCATGGCCTGTGTCCCGGCGCCCTCGCCCTTTCCCCATCTGTGTGCCAAGCTGTCTGGGTTCCAACCCTGCCCCACCAGCTCACCAGCTGTGGGCTACAGGTGAGCGATGCGACCTTCCTGAGCCACACCTTCTCCCTGTGGAACGGGGCTAACCCTGGTAACTGCCTCCCGGGGGAGCTCGTGCGGGTAAGCCAGGATGACCTTCGTGGAGCACTTGGCACAGCGCCGGGCACATCCTAAGAGCTCCGCATGCCTGAGGGGCTCCTCTGCACGTGGGGCAGAGCAGTGTGGACCCATTTTAGTAGCTGGTCCTGCTGAAATGCAACACTGCCCTGCCTCCCACTTCAATCTGCTTTCTCCTCCAGAGAACTTTCTAGGCAGAGGTAAAAATGCAGGAAGGATCGTAGGGGAGGGGCAGGCTCCCAGTGTACCTTCCCCTCCTGCCCACTGGACCTCAGAGCCATAAAGAGGTCCGCATTTTCCACATGCCTCTGTCCTCCTGGCCTGGGCAGCTGGGCTCTGGCTCCTTGGGGACAGAACCCAGTCTACAAAGAAAATGGAGCCGGGGGGCGGCGGGATACCAGCCCCAACCACCACCTGCCTCCGGCTGGCAGGCAAGCGGAAGCAGCCTTCTCTGGCTGGTTTCACTTCCTGGTGTCCAAGGACTTGTCGGTTTGGTTTCAATTGAAGACCCAGAGAGGAACTGATTCCATACGAAATAAAAGAAATTCAAGAAATCTGCCTATGCTCCCTACCCCACCAGCACCACCAAAGACTGGGATTGAGAATAATAATAACAATGATATAAAGACAGCTAAAATTCACTGAGGTCCTACACACGCTCAGACATGGCCTTAAGAATTCTGACGCAGACAAATTCATTTGATCACCATGACGACACCAATGCTGTCGGCAACATTATTATCCCCGCTTTAAAGGTGAGGAAACTGAGCCTTAGCAACACTAGGTAACCTAAGTTCACTTGAGGCAGGACAGTAGAAGCTGGGAGGATTCCCTGGCAGGGGGAACAGGGAAACCGAGACAGACGGCTGAACAAAATGGCTGAGCAATTTACAGCCAGACTCAGGGTCACCTCCCTAGAGATGACATCTAGGCCTCAGCTGTATTTTAGCCCCAGGCCCAGGAAAGCAGCAAAACCGGGTGGGGGAAGCCAGGACCAGCTACAATGCCTAATGACCCTCTGTCACTGACCAATCAGTGGAGACCGTGACCCTGAAGGGACACACCTGGAGAACTGATGTGGAAGATCCCCACCCAGGAGAGAGAGATGAAAGCCTCAGCGGGGGCCTCCGCAGAGCCATTCCCTTCCCCCTCTTGTTCCCTCACTTCTTCCTCCACAGGAAGCAGCTCCTAAACCCTGAGGGACCCCGAGACTTGCAATCAGGGGAACATGGGCAGCGGCGGCTCCGCAGCCCGCCCCTGGCTAACCCCTGGAACCTGCCCCCAAGGCCCCCTTTTCTCTGCCTTCCCAGTGAGCTCAGACAGCCCGGCCTGGGCTCTCCTGTTGCTTCTTCTAAGCCCTTCCTTGTTTCACTGTCTCCAGCTTTAACAAACGTACCCTCATAGTCACCTGGACTCGTGCTGTGAAATCTTTCCTACACGAAATCAAGAACCCACACCCCACGGCTGGCCCTCAGCAGACCCGGTCAGGGCCAGGCCCCTGTCTGGGGACAGGATCAGCTGGAAAGCAGCAGAGCCAGCCTGTGGGCCCAGCCCTGGCGGCTGCAGAGCCCCCAGTTGCCACGCCCAGGCCCGTGGCCTCCCAGCCGCAGAGCAGCTTAGGCTCTGATTCCATTACCCTCCATCAACCAGCCCAGCATCCCAGACACCCACACCCTGAATGTCTCAGAATAACCTCCCAGTGAGCGGGTGGGGCCCAGCTAGGCCTCCCTCCCGGAAGAAAAACACAGGGAAGTGGGGAGTGGGGAGAGGCCGGAAGGGAAGCCCTGGGTTCGGGAGCTGCTCCTACAGTGCAGCAGCTCCATCCCCCTGTGGCTTTTCCTTAAGCAGGTTTTCTGCAGCATCAAGGACGTCCCTTCCTGAGGGACCCTTCCTCTCTGCCAGAAGATTCTGGCTTTCTGGCCCTGCTGCCAAGAGGCGGAGGCCATGCGGACAGCCCTGGGGACCGACAGGCTGGCTGGCTGGTTTATTCCCATGTTTCTCCTCCAGACCAGGCCGTACCTGACTGCTGAGTCCAAATAAGACGCTCCCTGCCCTCAGAGGGCTGGCTCCTCCCCCTTCCTTGGCAAACTGGCGCACCCTGAACCCCGCTGCCAATCGGGCCAAGTCTGCCAAGTCCCGCGCAGGCTTCAATCCCGCCCGGCTCAACCAGCCAGGGCTGCTCCAGCTGGGCAGACGACAGCAGCCCACCGCACTCCTGGCACAGGCAGCTCCCAGCACGGGCTTCCCCAGGGCAGATGGGAATGGGAGGAGGCAGCGATGCCCCCACTGTGGGAAAGGATAAACGGAGAGGCACAGCGAGGTGGGTGGCGGTCATGGAAGGGACGGCCTTCGGGTGGTCTTGGGCCCAGAGAATGTCTGGCGGGCTCCACACCCAGACTCCAGACCCAACGTCTCTCCATTCCCGCTGCCAGGGCACCCTGGACCAAGCCACCGCGGTCACTGCAGCAGCGCCTGAGCCCGGCTCCAGGCTCATCTCCCCAGTCTCTTCACGCCCCCCCCCCCCCCGCCCCAGCTCAGGTCTCTGTGGCCTCTCGGTTCCTCAGAAGGGTTTCACTCTGCACTTGGGAGCTACGTATTTTACTCTCTATACAATGTACCTCCTCTGACACCATGGTGAGGTCGCCTACACAAGAATTTCATGAGCAAAACTCGGCAGAGAGCATACAAACTGGTTTTGTCCTAAGTCAGTTTTCTCAAACATTAACATCTGAAAGCGATCTACGAAGAAATCTCCGCAGTGACTGACACAGCTTGCTCATGCGTAATACCGATTCCAGAGCAAAAAAAACTGAGGACAAATTAGTTCTGTCCCTGTAAACAGTAGCCTCGCTTTTCTTGGGACCTGCCACCTTCCATGGAACCCTGACTCCTAGCTCTACTTCTTCCAGCCGCCAGCCTCCAGGTAACAGGGCCCCTTTCAGGGCGCCCGCCCAGCCAGGCTCCGCCCCGGGCACCCACGGCAGCCCCGCCCCTCCTGTCACACTCCTCTTCACGGAGGCTGCTTCGGCAGAACGTTCTCCTGGGGCCAGCGATTCACTGAAAAAGTTGATGAAAGCAACTGTGTGCACGACACATACTCTACACGCTACACACCTCGTTCTAAATCGAAACACACGCACGCACATCCCTTGGCTGACCTCTCTGCCGTAGGCCGGGGGCTCTTCCCCGAGCGCGGCTGGCTGAGCAGAGTTCCTGTGTCGCCTAATTTTGCTGTCCATGATGCAGAGCAAAAGCTTAAAGGCATCTGCAAAGACTGTCAGTGTGAGATCCTTCTGGATTTTTACAAAACGTCCACAGTGGTCTATGCCGAAATAGTATTTTGGCAGGGGTGCCACCTGAGCGTGTCCTGAGCCATCCCAAGGGGTCACAGCGGCAGTGCCGGGAAGGGCGGCTCTCCCCTCACTGGGAGGCACAGCGCAGCTTTGGGCTCCGCCTTAGGGGCTGAGGGAGCGGCTCGGCTCGCGTCCCAGCGCGCTTCGGTGGCTGTGTGACCGGCCCTTTTCCCCAGCTGTGAAATCGGGGTTTCGGCTACTGCTGTTGCTTCAATTATTTCTGTAATTTTTAAGTGCAATTATGTAATTACAGTGACAACTGCCACAAACAGGTTTGGGAACAAACAGCTGACGCTTGATAGGCACCCAATGTAATGACAGAGCGGAAGTACAAGGGTGTCCTGGAGACCAGCCCACTGGCTGGGAGTGGTCAGCAGTCCAAGGGCACACTCAGTCAGGGCATCAGGGAGTCCAGGGCCAGCTAAGCCATGATTGTTAGGAAGGGCCTCGCTGAGCCTGTCCATCCCGTGTCTCCTCGCGCCCGGCCGCACGTAAGAATCGCCTGCCTTGTAGGGCTCAGACATGCCCAGAGGCTGATGTGAGCGGTATGGATGGGCCCAGGCACAGGCATTTAGAACAGCTCCCAGAGGGTTCTAGAAGCAGGGCTGAGGGCCAGCAGGCAAGGACTTAAGTGCTGGGAGGGCAGGGTCTGCTTCTCATGGTTCACACTGGACAGCAGTGCCCAGCGCAGCTCCTGGCCACAGCTGTAACCCTGTCCTGTAAAGGAGTGGTGGTTGCCAGGTTTCAAGTGCCAAGGCCCTGGCTCCGTTCCCACTTCCTGGTTGCACTGTCACGCCAGCAGGTAGGAGCAGCCACACGAAGCAGAACCCAGAGCCACACTGGCAATAACACTTCCACCCAGAAATGTGTTCCGGGAGGTGCCTGCGGGAGCTACGGTTAGCCATTTGCCCTACACAGACAGGTGGCCTGGGGCAAAGGCCCTGGATCCCATCTCCTCCCCTACCCACCCCAAGTCTGACTTCTCCTAGTGAGGACACCCCGAGAAGCACCCCCATGTGACATCACAGAAGGGCAGAATGCAACTGAGGGGTAAGAGTGAAGGGTGGAGAGGGACAGGGGTTGCTAGGCAATGGGCCCTGGCCCACCTTTGCTCAGGTGACAGCAAGGAGTTCTGGTCAGGGCCTCTGGGCAAGGAGAACACCTTTTCCTCCCAACAGTTGCTTCTTTGAGTCAGAGCACGGCTCTGGTTACCTGCTGACCCCGTCAGCTCGGCCCCCAAAGCGTGGGCCCTGAACAACTGCCCCAATCCACCTGTCTTATGGCACAGGAGCATGAACAGCAGAATCGGGTAATGACTCCTCCCTTCTTGGCGATAGGCACACGGCCTGCCAATCTCGCTGTGCTTCTAGAAGCTCAGTGAGCCCTCCTGTTTTCAGCTGCCTCCCAGGAAGTTTACGAAGGTCTCAGCTTGAGTCAGTCCGCTCCTCTGCAACTACGCTGATCCCTCAAGGTGCTTCCCGAGTGTTTGGCCATTGAGGCAGGAGAACAGGAAGGCTCTAGAGCGGGGCTTCGCTGAGGCGGTCTCAGGGATGGGAGACGGAGACCTCGCTCATCCCAGGGCAGCTTAGGAAAGGCCTGGAGAATCAAGGGGTAGCCTCGGGAAGAGGGTGAAAGTCCCTCCATTGGTGCCAGGCCTTGCTCCTGTTTTACAGAGGAGGAAGGTCTGTTCATTGCGGGCTGGAGGGCCCAAGCCCAGAGCCCCGCCATCGCTGCCACTGTGGCAGAGGTGGGCCAGCAGGTCCCTGAGGTTGCTGCAGAGGGCGGAGCTGGGGGCAGGGCTGGGTGTGGACAGCAGCACCTGCGATGGGGCCCTGGAGAGGCCCCTGACCCAGAGCCTTTGTCCCCTTCTCAGGTTCTCACGGACATGCTGATAACAATTCAGAGGCGCCTCTGGAAGGATCAGTTCTGGGAGAACCCCTGGGACCAGGGGGGCCTGGCTGTGATCAGCATATTCATCATCACGATCCTGCTGCTCATGTCATTTGCTGTCGTATTTGGGGCGCTCCCTCCGCTTGAGAAGGTGAACCAACTCGAAGAGCTGTGATCCGACTTTCTGGGGGCCAAGAGGCGGGGCCTCCTGTAACACTCTCTCCAAACACCATGCACCTTTTCCTCCAAGCCCTTTAACAGTCTGGAATTGTATGTTTTTTTATGTGGTTATCTGACAAGTGCCTGTCTTTCTCACTGGAGCAAGCACCATAAAAGCAGGGGAGGGTCCCTTTGTGCTCACCGCTGCGTCCCCCACGACCAGTGGACCCAGCAGAGTCAGCATCAACCAATGGTTGTTGGTTGAATGAATGAATGGACAACTGAGCAAAACAAATGGATGAACAGAAGGATGTTGGGCTGTTGGCTCCCCTAGCAGAGACGGTAAGAGCCCAGTTGAGTCTAGACCTAAACCCAGAGCCGTTCTTCATCTCCGACAAGTTGTCGAGCCTGTAGACCCGGGGTCGCTGCAGACCTAACCACTGTTCCTTTCGACGCTAAAAGGTAAAGAGCCCTGTCATGAATAACCAAATGCTCCCCGTGGCCTTAGCTCAGAGGGGAGCGGCTGCAGGCAAGGAGAGCGGGACCCGCTGGTGCCCTGCCCTGGCTAAGTTCCTCTGATCCCAGCGCCTTTTCTCTTGGTCCCAGAGGTGCCCAGGTGTCCCTCACAGGGTTCCACAGCCCCCGTGCACCCCAGACCCCACAACACTGCCTTTTCAGAAATGTACCCGCCTCTGCCAAAGCCACCACACTGGCCAGTCCGTTGTTGCCAGGCGCTCTCCTTGGAGAACAGCTGCTTCAACTTCAACCTCCACCCCAGACCATGCCTAGAAAAGGAGCAAATATCTGGAGGGAAAGGGGCCTTTTCTTCACGCTGTGCATGGTTTATGCATTAATGAAATATTCCCTTTTACTCAAAGAGCAGCTGCAAGTGCAGCCACACCAGCGGTGTTGATTCCGTCCCAGGGTGGGAAGTCCTGGAACCTGTGACCCTCACTCGTGACATATGAGAGATGAGGCTGCGCCCAGGGCAAGAGGAGCCCCCACGGATGCCCAGACCCCCAACACTAAGAGGCTCCAGATCCCTGCTCATGAGACAGGAGAAATAAGGGTGGGGGCCCCTAGGAAGACCTAGCCTCTTGGGATGCGGCAGCTAACCCTCTGGACAGCCCTGCGGAGCCTCAGACTCATCCCGGACAAGAGCCCAGTCAGGGTTATTTCCAGCAGAGGGGACGGTGACAATCAGCAAGGACGCCTGGCCCTTTCACTCTGGGTGTTTTGAACAGGGGGCCTGAGAAGGCCTAATTTAGCACCTCCCCATACTGGTGCCTGAAAAGGGCTCTGGTCACCGTGGCTGTGGTCACGGGTGGTCCTGACACTCTAGCCAAACTCTGCTTGGCACAAAAGGGTGTGCCCCAAAACTGCTCCTGCCGCAGAGGCCCAACGAGAGATGACTGCTTGCAGGAGGGAAGAGCTCCAGTCCAGGGGCCACCTACTCATTGGTGAACAGGAGGGGGTGGGAATCAAATGCAGGGCCCAAAAAGGGTCTCTCTGGTTTCCCGAGCGAGCCCCAAACATCTGCCAGCCACCGGTAATCAGCTTCATGCTTCAAGAATCTCATCATGCAAACCTAAGACAGCATGTGCATATGAAAATGTGCACTGAAAATTGGCAGGTCTGGGGTTAGTGGCATCTGTCTACCATGAGCTTTGTGATTGTGACCTCCTGGACCCCTGTCTGTTCCTCTCTAAGTGTGAAGCAATCACTCCTGCCTCATCTGCTTCACAGGCTGTCCAGTGAGATGTGACCAACAAGAGCAAAGGAATCAAAGAGCCTTTTCAACCAAAAGGCTACCCCAAACGCACCGGGCTGCTAGCTTGTCCAGAATCCTCCTGGACGTCCCTCATGCAGCGCATGTGCCGCAGCTGTGCTCAGACGCCGCCCTGCCACAGCCTGCCTGTCCCTGCCCTGCCACAGAAGCTGCTCTGCCACAGCTGGCCTGTCCCTGCAGCTATCAGGCTCCTCCTGCCCCTGCCAGGTGCAGATAAAATATTGCAGTGAGTTCCAACGGGGCAGGCCAGCGTCATGTGAGAACAGTTGGCTTCTCCCCAAGCACGTAACGAGCTCCGGCAGGAGACAAGCTGGGTTGCCGGCCCCATTCTGGCCCAGGATGAGAGTGAAGCCAATGGTCCAGCCCAGTGGCATGTGACAACCACAATGCCAATGGCTCAGAACCGGTCCACTGACTCAGGACTGGGTCACTCACGGGGCCATCCATTCCAGAAGGAGGTAAAGTCGGGCGGATGGACGACCACCCAAAATATTCAACAGGTCCTCACACGGCCAGAGTTTCGGGGACCTTCCACGGAAGAGTGGAAGGGTGCCGGCCTCTGGGCTGCCTGACAGGAAGCACCCCAAGCAACGGCCTTCAGCAGGCTGGGGCCCCCTGGTGGCCCAAGTGTTGCCCCATGGGAGCTGGTTAACTCAGGCACTGGGAGGGGAAAAGGTCTCACTATCACTTTGTTCCAGAACACGCAAACAAGTCACTCACCCCAGTTCTTCACAGAAGTTCACCAAAGCATCAAAGGCCAGGAGAGCAGCTTTATCAGACGCTTTGTTCCCTCTCTTTTCCTGGAGACAAAAAATGGCCATTTACATAGCGATTACCAGAGGGAGAGGTGGGTGGGGGGAGGTAGAAGGTAAAGCGAGGCTAAATGGTGATGGAAGGAGTGGTGAACACAGTACAACACACAGATGACATATTATACAATGATACACCTGCAACCTACAGTTTTATTAACTGATGTCACCCCAATACATTCAATTAAAAAATTTTAAAAAAACAGAAAAAAAAAAAAAAAGAAAAAGCAATGATCATTTAGTCCATCTTACATAGTTGGACTACTTGCGGCCCGAAGAGTGATGAGAGAAAAAATACCACACGACAGTAAGAAAGTCACTTATAAAACAGTGTCCCCAAACCTGACCATGCATCAGAATCACCTGGGTGACTTGATAAGAGCTACTGGGGTCTGCCCCCAGACTATTGAAGCGAACTTTCTGGACCTGGAGCTTTTGAGAGTTGATTTTTCCAAAACACTGCTCATGTGATTCTCATGCAAAGGACCCAGAACTGGCATCTGGCCACCACTGTATGCAACGCGACCGAATGGACTAGTAAATACAGGCACCAGGGCGTGTACTTGGGCGTATGGGAATACACACACCTCTGTGTGCGTGGAGACACGCTGTACGCTGAAAGGCTAACTGATCATTTCTGAGTGTTGGGAATACTTGTTGCCTTTTTGTACTACATGTCTACTTGTCAAACTTTCTTTTTAAAAAAACTGAAAATTTTTAAAACTACAGAAGAGTAAAGACATCACCTATGGACTTTCTGCTTCTGAGAAGTGAATCATCCTCCCCTCCCACACACGCAGACCCACGTCCTTCCGCCGCTCCCATGCGCCACGGTTTTCCTCACTGTGACTATTTGTCAACACTGTTCAGAGCTCAACCACACGGTCACATTTTTACATTTCCCATGATCGCATCTCTTTTCTTTTACAGCTTTGTTTCACTTGAAATTAATAGCTGCCTTGTTTTTTCATTTACTTAGGCTTTGGTGTACCACTAACTCACCCCCAAATGTTCTGACATCCTAGAAACCTCATTTCAATAGGAGCCAAAAATGGCAGGCTCCACATTTATCTTTGGAAACTTCCTTCCTGGAGCCTTCTGTCCCCCAGTTTGAGCTGGTCTGCTGTTCTCTAGGCCTGGTGCACTGCTGGCTTTCTGGGACTACCCTTCCAGACGCTCTTGGACCACGCCTCCACCTCCTTCTTCCTTAGTTCACTGCATCTACGCTGGAGAACATCCCATAGTAGCTTCTCCATGTGAAAAAGTTTTCTGAAACTTTGGGTCTGAAAATGTCTTTTTTTTTTTTAAAGATTCTATTTATTTCTTTTTAGAGAGGGAGAGGGAGGGAGAAAGAGAGGGAGAGAAACATCAATGTGTGGTTGCATCTTGTGCGCCCCCTGCTGGGGATCTGGTCCACAACCCAGGCATGTGCTCTGCACTGGGAACAGGAACCAGTGACCCCCTGGTTCGTAGGCAGGCCGTCAATCCACTGAGCAACACCAGCCAGGGCTATGTTATATTTTGCCATATAAAGCTTTTGTAGATTCAGGATTTATAGAAATTTAAGACTTTTTAAATACATTCAAATATTTTTTTTAAAAAGAGCTTTCTGGATTTCCAATTTTTATTATAAGAGCGTCTCCACGAGCCCTAGCTTACACACTGCGCTAAATTTTTTTTGCTAAATACGTATATTTTTTACATGTAAGTCTTTAATGTCCTTTTAATTAGGTATTAAATGGGGCACTTTAATTTTATTGCAGGAGGACAGCCTGCTGTGTAACACCACCTATTAGGCGAGTCCCTCTTTTTCCATGAAATTCTCATGTATTCTGGGACCCATTTCCGACCCTCTCCTCTACTCCGACGGCCCCTCTGTTGACTGCAGCAGCGTCCTGGGTGCTGATCCTGGGGCCACCGCTCTTCTTTTTCACGCATTTCCTGGCTGTTCTTGGGCACGTATACTTGCATATAAATGCTAAGATTCCACTTCCCCATAAAAGTCTCTTTGGATGTCAACTGGAACTTCATTGCAACATGTACATTAGCTTTAGCTTTGAGGAGAAATGAGTTTTCCATATTTCCACCCAGTTTTTGTACCTCTTGAGCCTTTTTGTTTTCTATGGGATTTTAGTTTTCTTTGTTTAAATCAGTGGTTCTCATCCCTGGCTGCATATTAAAATCAACTGGGAAGGTTTGCGAAAAGTCTCTTGTTAATAGCCTGTAACCTTTACATGTAGATATTTAATAAGTGTTGTTCTTGCAAATTAAACACTTTTCATTTCCATTCCTGGGTAACATATTTATAATAATGCAGCAAAAAGCTACTGCTTTTAAAAATATTTCTATTACATTTAGCCACCTTACCAGTTTTTTGTTTTGTTTTAAATAAATTCCAATAGATTTCTGGTAGACTTGGGTTTCCTAGACAGACATTCATTAACCTTTCTACCTCCTGGTGACTTCTCTCTTGCTCTCCCTGTCCCTGTGAGTTTATAATATATTTTTTTTGTTTTTATATTGTCATTTTGGTAGGAATCAGAAATAAGTATTTGTACTTAACCTTTCTTGTAAGGATGTCTCCATGTATCCTTTCACAACTTGATGCAATATGCTTTGGGGGATTTACCAGGTCATTTTTAACCACCCTAGACCATTCCACTGAGTGACTATCCAACTGTTTACTTGTCCAACATTCTCTGGAGGAAGAGTCTGATTTCACTGTTAGGTGTTGCAGCAAACATCCCTGTACATCCTTGTACATGTGCCTCCGTGTACACTGACAACATGTCTGTCTAGAAATGGAAGGGCTGAATCACAGAGCACCAGCACCCTCCACTTACACGTTAACACCTCGTCTCTTTTCAAAGCCCTCGTACAAGTTTATGTCCCTGACAACACTGTGAGTTGCCCTTTCCCACATCCTCATAAGTGACTATAAAGATGCTTACATTTTTGTCAGTCTAATGGGTATAAAATAATAGCTCATCATCACCCTGTAGTTTGCATTTCTTTGATTCCTAAGTGATGTGAGCATCTCTTCATGCATCTGCTAGATATCCTGGTTTCCTTTTCTGTGAAATTCACAGTTTTTGCTATGTGGCTGTTTGCCTTTTACTTATTTACCTATAAGAGTTCTCTATATAGTCATTCATTTACATACATTGCACATATTTCCCCCAAAATGGCTCATTTTTCACTTTGCTTATGGTGTTTCTCATCATACAGAAATTTTTACCATGGATTTAGTCAAATAGATAATATCTTCCTTAATGGTTTCTGCTTTTGAAATCTCAACATACTCATCCCTTCCTCAAGGCCATAAAGTATTCTCTGACCATTTACAGTGTTTTGAGTCTTTAATCCATCTGTAATTCATATGTGTATGGTATAGGAGGTTGGAATCTAATTTTATCTTTTTCCAGCACCAATTATTCAACAGTTTGTCCTTTCCTATTGACTTATAATGCTACCTGCCATACACCAATTTCCCTTAAATACATGGGTCTGTTTCTAGGCTCTCTACAAAGAATGTATAATAAGCGTTTTTTTAAAGGCCAGAAACAAAAACAAAGAACTTATGACAATAAAGGAAAATGGTCACGTAACAACGATAATGGAAACAGGACAGGACTGATCTTGACTACGTAAAATAATGTGCACACACAAGACTGTACTCAGATAAATGAAATACAAAGAAAGAAGTCTGGCCTAGCTCGTTGCTATGCCCACGTGCCAACATACAACCCCCCCGCCATAACACCCAGCCCCAGGAGCACCTTTCCAGCTCACGGAATCCCCATCTGAGCTCAGAAAGAAGCTGCGTGAAGTTGTTGAGTCGCGGCTTAGGGCAGACAGGGCTACTACTGCCCGCGACTTACCTGGAGATTTGCTACTTCCTTCCTGATCAGGAAGCTGACTTGATCCCGGTCGTTTCTGGAGTAATAGAGACGGCACCAGGAAGGCTTCCCGTCCCTGCCCGCCCGGCCAGACTCTTGGTAGTACCCAGCCATAGACTTGGCAATATTCCAGTGGGCGACAAACCTGTAGGATCCAAAGGGACAAGCGGCATGAGATGTGGCAGAAGACCTGAGGGGAGGAGTGGTTCTGAGTGGGCGGCGCAGGGCTCTCCCCAGCAGCCAGGAGTGGGCAGGCGGGCAGGGAGAGGCAGGGAGAGGATCCCAGGGCGAAGCATGGCTAGGATGTGGGCAGTCTGCCAGCCGGCCTCCCTGCCGCGGAGGCGCCCAGTTCAGAGGCCACAGCAGTAAAGGGTGAAAGTCCAACGCAAACGAGAAATAAAAGCCCCCCACAGTCCAAGGTCCAGGGGAAAAAATTACTGGACTTAAGATTAGGCCACTTAGGAACTGCGCAACCTTGAAAAAGTCTTTTATAATCTCTTTGAAGTGGAAAAAGGATAACGTTTATTAAATATGTTCCATGAGCTAGTGTATACATTTGTCTCATTTAATTGTTACAGTCCCATCATGTGAGGTAGCCCCATTTTAGAGACAATGAACTTGAGATTTAGAGAGGTAAACTGCACAATTTACCTGGCAAGGGGACAGCATTGCTAGGATTTGAGCGTAGGGGTGTCTGACTTCAAGGCTGGCCCCTAACAGGACACAGCCAACCCAGCATTCAAACTCTGGGTCCAAAGTCTGTGTTCAGGAGTCTTGACTTTGGGAGGTGAACAGGCAATCCCATGTACAGATGATGTATTCTAGAATTGTACACCCGAAACCTATATAATTTTATTAACCAATGTCACCCCAATAAATTCAATAAAAATAAACAAAGTCTGTGTTCCCTCAAATGCAGTACACAGACTAGTCCTACCCTGAGCAACTCAGAGTCAGTTTGAGTCTTAACTAGGCCCTGTATGCAAAAGTGCTTAAACCACACAAGGCATTATTGTTGGTGTTAATCAGAACAGAGGGCTTCAGGCTGTAGCCCAGCAAGTCTCCAGAAGGTCAGGAAAGGCTAGAGGCAAAACACTTCTAACAGCTGCCAGAGCGGGCCTAGGGGACTGGGATGCACCAGTCTCTTCGCCTGTCAGTCAGCAGCAACAAGGAGTGATGGGAACAAGCCCTCTGCCTTGACGTCCCGCAGGGAGGTTACGACAGTACATTCTACCCCTCCCAGGGTCCATCTGCTAAGATGTGAGTGAATGGGGCTGTGTTACTGAATGAGGTCTGTCTGCCTGCTGCCCCACCTCCCGGGGCCGGCAGAGCTGTGCTGCACAGTCACGAGAAGCAGGCTGCACAGAGTCTGCCAGCATGTGGGCTGTGCACCAGGGACCCTCCCCTGGGGCCCCATTCCCCGCTGGCCCTAGAAGGAGCACGTGGACCTGGTCCTCCTGGCAGAGCCCTAGGCAGCCCACCCGAAGCCAGGCCCTGATCAGGAAGGTAAGACAAGAACCAGAGCTCACCTGACATTGGCTTTGTCCACTCCCATCCCAAAACTAATGGTTGCAACAATTATGGGGACTTTCTCCTCCATCCACTCGTTCTGCACCAGCGTCCTTTCAGAAGCCTTCAGCCCTATAAAGGAAGGAAAGGTGGAGAAGGGAACTCGCCTTTCCTTGGGGGTTCCCTTGGGGTCTGTCTTGGGTTTGATACTATCATGGGCATTACACACACCCCTGAAGTCATAACTTCCTAGCCATGTGACCTTGGGCCAGGTACTTAACTTCTAATAAATTGAAGACCCTAGCCTGTGTGGGGCATACAGCACTCAATGGATGTTAGAGCCAAGATTCAAACCCAAGTCCATTGGCCTCCAAAGCCTGTGCTCTTTCCACACCACCAATGCCTGGGCTTATAAAAAAGCTCATCACCTGCTGCTGGGTAGGCACAGGGAGAGAAAAAGAATTCAGCAGTCGCAAGTCTCACTTTAGACCTCACTCATGTCTAGACTCCTTTTCTGTGGATTTAAGTGAATCACTCTAGCTCTTCCCAAGTATTTAGAAAAGATGTCAGACCACCTGATTCTCCAGGATCCACAGGAACAAGAGACTCACTAAGAGGCCTCTGGGAGCGAAGAGGGCCACGTGGCCCCCGCAGCCCTTACCTGCATGGTAGGCCTTGGCATTCAGCCCCCTGGAACTGAGCTCTATCGCCAGCTGTTCACAAGCCTCTCTGGTCCTGCAGTAGACAATGCCGCAGCCGGAAAAGAACTGAATAGGAAGACAGGAACAACAGGAAGAAAATAAACATTGGGAAAAACGGTCGGCCTGCTTTAACAGAAGCTCTGCGCTCTGTCTCTCCCCGGCCTCACAGTCTCTTCTGTGGCCGGACACCCTGCGGGGCTCTGCCACCTTCTAACAAAGCAGGAGCAGAGCAGCTCAAAAACCAACAACTCTAATGCCTCTGGCTTCTCCCCTCAAACCTTGAATAGGTCTGCAAAGGCCACCAACAGAGGCTGGCTGCTTCCCTCCCACAGAAGGTTTCCAGGACAAGGAAACCGCAGGATGGGGAACAGTGCCAGAAAGCCAAAGGGATGAATCTGCGCTTTAAGCAGCTTCAGCTGGTCTTGGCTAAGGAAGCTGGAAAAAGCACAGGTCTTAGCAAACCAATACCCATCTCTAGGCCGCAGATGGCACTCACGGCTCCACAGGCATCTTGGCCTCCCCACCTCGGTGCCCTCACCCCTTTATCAGTCTTTTGTCCAAGGGCCTTAAGGCAGAAGTCCCGCAGGTTCTTGTAGGGATCAGAAAGCAGTTCCTTGAATTGCACGTCATAAAAGAGGTTGGCCCGGAAGCAGGGAGTCTTGAAGGCAGCAACTGGCTGCTTCAGGTGCAGAGCAGCAAACACATCCTCCTGGACCTGTGGGGTGGCTGTGGCGGTCAGAGCCACACACGGGGCTCGTGCCAGGCGGGAGCGCAACGCCCCCAGCCGCAGGTAGTCAGGACGGAAGTCGTGTCCCCACTGGGAGATACAATGAGCTTCATCCACCACCAGGTAGGAGAGCAGGTGGCGAGACACCAGGGAGTTCAGCGTGGGCTGGAAGGAGGCTGACGCCGCCATCTCTGGTGTGATGTACAGGAGTTTGGTCTGGGGCTTTTCCTGCTCCAGGTCAGAGAGCAGCTCTTTCTTCTCCTGGGCTGAGAGCTTCGAGTTTAGGGAACTCACTCGTACCTTCAGGGCCAGCAAGTGGTCTACTTGGTCCTGAGGGCAGAAGAGGGAGAGGCACAGATGGGAGTATAATGGGCCCACGCGATCTCAGAAAGTCTCCGCAAAGTGCTGGGGTAGTTCCCAGCCATAAGACATCCTCCCCCAGCCGCCAGAATGTCTTCTCTCTGCATACAAGAGGCGCTGAGAGGACAGGCTCTGGAGCCAGGCAGACCTGGATGTAATCCTGGCTCACTAACTGCCACCTACTCTTGGGCTGGTTCTTTACCTTGCCCTGTCAATTTTCTCACTCCCCCCACCCCCACTATGAAAAAAGTAACTAATAGGATTGTTGAAGGAATTAAATTTTACATCTCCAAGGTGCGAGTAATGCAAGTAAAGCACCAGCACTAAGCACTGTTACTGTTCTTTCCTGCCTCTCTCTCTCTCTTCATGGTCGACAGCTCTTAACAACATGGCTGCAGTTCCTTACTTCTCATCCTAGCAGCCCATCTGCAGGCCTTAAATACAGTCAGAAGTGCAGAGAAGATGTTAATAACATCCCAGTGAGCCTCTCATCTTTTCTGTCATAGCTGTGTCCTTGCCAGAATAGAGGACACCAGGGACCCCCTTATCACTTTAGCTCTGTCCATCTTCATCTGCTATCCCGTCAAGCGTGTGCATGTATATACGGATACAGTTTCCACGTTCCTCTGGACAAAAAGTAACGGAAGACAGTAAGAACCCACCAGAGTGCTATGCCCTAGTGGAGAGGCCCACATATGGGCAATTCAGAAACCCAATATAGCAAGGGAGATAAGCAAATCAAAAAAATTAAGCAGCAAAAGACCAGAGAAAGCAGAAGTGAAAGTTCTAGCTACAATCAACCTTTCCCTAACCTTCTGGGGTACGTCTTCATTCCCCTAAGCCTCACCTGAATCAAAGCAATGAGAGGAGAGATAACGATGGTGATGCCTTTGGCCAACACCGCAGGGAGCTGATAGCAAAGGGATTTTCCTGCCCCTGTGGGCATGCACACAAATACATCCTTGTCACCTGCAAAAATACAAGACAACATCTCAATGCTCCTGCCTTTTATCTCTTTCCTTCATCAAGGCTGTTGAAAATTCAATGTGAATGTAGGAAAAGGCCCTAGCAGAGTGCCTGGCACACAGTGTGTGTGTTTTGGGGGGGGGGGGTCTCAATATAATCTTAATTCCCTTCCCGTCCTTTCTAGGAAAAGGAGTACAGGGACATTTGGAAAAGCACACAAAGCGTTTCTGATAATGGTGCTAACAACTACAAGATTAAGAAACCTGAGTCTGCTGGGATACAGACGATTGAACTACATAGCCGTTAAAGCTGCATACTTCCAGATGAGTGGGCATACCTGTGCAGACATGGAAACATCACTTAGATGTCTTTTGTTTGTAAGTGTTACAGTATAATTAATACTACACTGATTCTCCTCTCTTGACAACTTCCATTTGTCAACAAACCTCAGTTTATGATATTATCAATCCTTCCTTCCCTATCTGGGATCCAGGCCACTCAATCTTTAACAAAGGGATTGCCTAGGTCAGTGACTGGATTAGGCTATTTCTGCTTCCCCCTCCCCCAAACACAAACTAGTGGAACTCTATGAACTGTTCTCAAAGATGATCTATAGCTCTGGCTATGAAATGTAGGAAACAGAACAGTTGGGTGATTCTGCCAATAAAACTACAAGTTTTGGGTGATGAGCCTACAAGATTTCCAAAACCAGTTAAGGACCAAGGGTGGGGAGGTAGGAAGGGTCAGAAGGAGGGTGTGCTAGGCAGTGCTTCGGTACAGCCAGCATGAATGTAAACACAGGTAGTTTGGCAATATTACCTCTCACTACAGCCATGGTCGCACTCTCCTGCAAAGGTGTCTTAAAAGAGTCAAACCCAAAGACCTTCTTCAACGTGCTCCGGACTCGATGCTCAGGGTCAAAACGAGAGGAATGGTGGGTGCTCATCTTAGCGACAGACGGTGGCCGGATGTTAAGGCAAAGGTGATGATCGTATGGTTGTGGCACGAGTCCTCTGTCCGGCTTTTATTAAAATACTGTTTATTTTTCTCTGAGTATAAGTTTGCTTTATTACACTCAAGCGATATATAATTTTCAAGTAATACAGCTCCAGGTGAACAGTATCAAGCAATACATTCCTGGGTAAATAACATCTCCACTTTTACGTCAGCAAAAATGAAAACATTGAACTATCCGAGGCCACGGTATATTACCACGGAGCTAGAAATCAGATCACGAGAAGAAACACAGTGTCTTCGGAATAGTTTGGAGGAGGTGGAATTGACTGTCTAAGATCCGTCTTCTGCTCCTCCTGTAAGCACAGTCATCACGGCCATTCTTCCCCCAAGACCCCGATCCCCTTTTCTCCACTCCCAGAGGAGAGCTCTTTCGCTCTCCTCCTCGGAACCCCAAATCCGCTCTTTTCTTCCTTCCTCAGCCGAAGTCTCCCTCTCTTCACGTCAAGGTATCAAAGCCGGCCGAGAGCCCCGCAGGAGCGAAAGTCTGTGGGCGGGGGGCGCTCGACGCCTGCTGGTTCGGGAACTGCTCGGAGAGCCCCCTCGCCACCACCAACTCTGAGAAGCCAAGCAACTGGACATTCACAATCAGGTAAAACTCAAGCAACCTTGCATCCGTCGCGCAGTAATGACGTTTGCTAGCGCACTGCGAAGGGGCGGGGCCAGACTAAGAAACAGCCGTCTTGATTGGTTCCTGGTCTGGAACGGGAGCGGGTTCTCCTGGGACCCGGAAGAAGTCCCCTCTCCTCCCGGAAGTCGTCTTTTTGGAGTCCGCAGAGGGAGGCCAGCCTGGGCTGTGGGAATAAGATGGCGGGCAAGAAGAATGTCTTGTCCTCTCTGGCAGTGTACGCGGAAGATTCAGAGCCCGAGTCTGACGGCGAGGCTGGAGTCGAGACGGCGGGCAGCGCGGCTGGTGAGGCCCGAGTAGAGAGGTGGAAGGGGAGAAGCAGGTGTTTGTTCCGAATGCTGCTCCCCTTGCAGGGCGGGAGGGAAAGAGATGGTCATTGTGCCCCAAGTGTCGGGCGCCGGAGCCCCGAAGCGCATTCGGGGTCCTGGGCGAATGCTCTGTGGTAAAAATGCATCGTCTCCTTTCGTTGATTCGATTATTCTTCCGAAACTTACTGAAAATCTCCGTGCCAGGCATCTTGCTGGGCAGAGGGGTGTACAAAGGGTGGAGAGGGGTCCAAGGCTACTGAAACACTACCTATTCTTTCCGAGCATGTTTGATGGACGAGAGAGATGAGTAAAACATAGGTGAAGAGTGATACAGGTTGTACCTTACTGCATTTATAACTTTTAACTAGTAATGTGTCCTAGACGCATCTTGGAGCTTTTAAAAACTGTATCTGGTCTCCACGGTGAGAGTCTGGGCATGTGTGAGCTTTATAAGGCTCCTCGGTCATTCCATTATTTTGTGAGTTGTTAAAACTCCTCAGTGACTGTGTTGCCCTACTCAGATTGAGAATCGCGATGTTAGGAAATGGGAACAGATTGATTTGGGAGCTTAGAGAGGCAGTAAGTTATCTAACATACCTGGGTCTTAGTTTCTTCATATGAAAAGCGAGGGGGCTTCAGCTAGGTTAGCTACTCTCAGTTTTGTGTGGTCTTTGCCTGCCAGGAGGTTCTCAGGTGGTTTCCCAGTAATTTGTATTGTTCTGGGGGTTTTGTTGGTGGTGCTTTGTTTTGTGTTAAACGTAGAAAAAGATTGTTTCTCTGGTAGGCGTGATTGGGAACCCCTTGGAGTACCCCTTGTTCAAGGTCCCGTTCCTGGGGTAGGACACACAAAAATGAGGATGACAGATTATTTGTTTTGTTCGAGAAGATGAATTCACAGGTGCCTGTGATGCAAGGGAGACATCCACAGAGGTGCTCAAACAGCAGTCGGGGGCCAGCGTCGTTTAACATGAGATTTAAGTTCCCTTTTTATCCTACAGTATAGTTCCAGCCACTCAAGTCACCGAAAGTTTTTCTTGCATTTCTCCCCCCATTTATTCACCTTTATTTTGGTTCTCTGTTTCAGAGGAGAAAGGTGGATTGGTATCTGAGGCCTACGGAGAGGATGATTTTTCTCGTATTGAGGGTGATGAAGATGGTTACGAAGAAGAAGAGGATGAGAACAGCAAACAGTCGGTAAGTAAATCTGTGCCCAAATCCATAGCTGCTCATAGCGCCATTTCAGTTGTTAGAAACTTTCTGGACTGTTCCAACAGCATTCCATCTCATACCTAATTCCATCCCCTCCCCCCCACCCTTTGGTGTCACTTAAGGAAACTAGGTTGGATAGTGGCAGTTCTGTTTGTAAATCAAATTTGTTTTCACCTGGACCATTTTGTATTAACCTTTGAATTAAATTTTTGGGGAAAAGACAGTGAATTGTTTTATTTAACCCAAATATCAGAGAGTGTTTTATGGTGGTGGTCCCTTTTTAGATCATGTTTATTCTATTTGTAACAGTGTATTCACTCCAATTGGTGTATCCTTTATCTCAGCAATTAACACTATTATTTGTAATCTTGGTTGGGGCTCATTCAAATCTTTAGTTTATTTAAGAGATTAGGAAGGGAAATTTTGTGTATATGACTTAATCCTTCTTAAATTCTTTCTTGACATTTTACTTCACACTTGTTACCACTGTGCCCTTGGTTCTCGATCACAAATCTTGCCTGAACTTTCGTATGTGTTGGCTAACAAAAGAGAACTCGTATCTTAACCAGAAAGACCTTAGATGCACTATCACTTAAGTACCAAGAGCCAGAATTTAAAAGTTTGGGGGCGGAGGGGAAGGGGTGCGGAGGATTCAAGTTGAAACTGGCTATTTAGCAGCAGCTTTAATTGAAACATTTGGTGTACTTTCGGGATTTGTTTGAAAACTTTGTTACGCATTGATATTTAAATATTACCGTTAAACTGCTTTCCAAATTAAACAAAAATGTGCTTTGTATTTTATACTCTTTGAGAAGATATTTTCATGTCCGTAGCCCCACCATTTATGCTAATAATTCAGAATTGACTGAAATTGGTTAGAAGGGCTTTGAAAGCTGTGTTCTTTTCCTGACTTTTTTTTTTTTTTAAGTGCATGCATTCTGGCTTAACATCCATAACTGTTTTCTTCAGTAAATCTGCATAGTGTGTTTTCAAGTGTTATTCCACATTTGCTTTCCTTAGGATTTTCATCATATTTAAGCTTCATTTCATACTTTTGTAAAATCCTCTCATCAAATCCCAATATAGACCTTCTAAAATGTGATTGTATTCGCCAGAGCTACATCTCTGATATTTGGCTTGATTGGATTCATTTTAAGGAGATTATGGAGATTGCATTTAAAACCTTTGGCTCACTGACACATTATAGGACAGCTGAATTTCAAACCCATCAGTATAGTTTATTCAAGTCTCTTGGGTGATGTTTCTATTAATATCTGGAATGCTGTTTAATTTACAGTGTATCTTGATTGGAAGAACACAGTTTCCAATGAAACATAATTTTCTCCTGGGTGTTAAGTTAAAAGTTCCCGTGTGTTGGGGTGTTCTGGGTAGTGGATCAGATGTGAATACAACTGCCTAATGGGGAGCTGACCTTTGACCTTCATTAGCGCGCAGTGCAATGGTGGGCTAGCTCCTGTGAGGCCCATGCATGCTTTGCTGAGTGCCTTGCTCACGTGGTGCTTTGTGTCAGGCAGGCCATTTGGATAAGGAACAAGGCTTAGAACAATAAATGGGAGTTCCGTGAGGACTTCGGTAGAGGCAGGGCTCGCTCACCTTGGATCCGGGAAAGGCTGGGCATTGTCTTTCAGTCATGCCTTTCCCGCATCACTTGCCCTGGTCATTTGATGCCTACCTTCTTTCTGTTCGTGTTGGTGCCAGTGCTGCTGGGCTGAAGTGCTGGGGTGCTGGGGTGCAGTTCTGTGTGGGTCACGGCAGTCTGGCCGTGTGCGGTGTCATCCTAGCTCTGAGTCGGATGTGTTTGCATGTGTGAAAAGCAAAGGAGAAAAAGTCCGTGTTTTTGGTGTTAAGTAATTGACGTTTCATTGGAGACAGTATGCTTGTTTTGTCCTGTGGGGCCTGGCCGTGTTCTTTTCTGGAGTGTATTGTGGCCTTTTCTCTGTTTTTTTGGAAGTGATTAACCTCAGGCATTTTCATTAGTGTAGACGATGGTACTGCTGGAGTAATGACTTTGAGCTGCTGGTGTTCTTTTCCCCCCAGAACATCTCCTTTTCCCCCGTCTTTTTCCAGTTCTGGGTCATATGGTAGGGGAGGGTTCTTGGTGGAATGACCCAGGCTGGGTAAATTTGCTCCAACCCCTGATTATGCATGTGAGAACCCTCAGGCCCACTCCTTTGAGCTTAATCCTCTAAATTCTTTGTCTTGTAGGAAGATGACGATTCAGAGACTGAAAAACCTGAGGCTGATGACCCAAAGGTACTTGGCGTTGGCTGTGGTGGGTGGCTGGATGCTAACAGGGCACGTAAACGTTATGGCTCAGTTCATGTGTCTGGTCAAGGTCTGTCCCACAGACACGCTGTGCACCCATGTGTAAATGTTCTGGGGTGAAATCAGTTGCATAAAGAAACCTGGAGGCCACTCTGGCATGAGTAAGTCCGGAGGCAGCCTGGACCTTCAGCCTTGCAGGCAGTGTGAGATCTTGACTAGAGAGGCTAGAGGCCTGGCTGAGAGCGGCAGGAGTCCTGCGCTCTGCACCCAGGTGGGCTGTGTGGGGTCGCTGCTCCTGCAGGTGGATTAGATGTGGGAGTGTTTCCAGAGCCAGGAAGCAGTGAGGCTGCCTTGTGTGCTCGGGGTTCTCTTCAGTGGTCTAGATGTGAAGAAGGGCCAGAGAGGGTGAGACAGGACGCGGCCTCCTCTGCTGTTGGGGATGCTGAGCCTAGTCATTGTTTTCCCAGCCTTGAACCCTTCCACTCTGGGGTAAACCTTACTGAATGGCCTTTTTCAAAATGACGTAGCCAGCTCTTCTCATTTCCATCCCAGTAGCAGCTAAGAGTAATTAGCAGTGTTTCCTGTCACCCTCCTCAGCCCTACCATGATGAGGGCTGAGAAGCGCGTCCCTTGCGCTGGGTAGGCTTTGTCACACTGTGCGCTGGGCATTAGGGCAAGTGTGCCTGTCAGGGAAATGTTCTTTAGGGACAGACTCCCCCCATCCCCCCACCCCCGGCCCCAGCCAAAGAGAGAGACTCTAGGCCTGAGATAGGGACCAAGTTTTATGATTAAAAACTGCCTTAAAACCAGCAAGGCCTTCAAGGTGACCCGGTAGAATTTAGGAAAATTATACCCAGTCAGAATCTAAAGTAGTAGTATATTTGAAAATATAGCATGAGCTGTTTCAAATTGGGACTGATTCTGTGACAGGATAGAACTGTGTACAAGCACCAAACTGAACCCAATAAAGGCTGTGGACAATGCCGAGGAGAAAACACTCTACTAAGACGTTTTAACATCTGCACGTGGGAGAAAAAAAAATGTATCCTAGGAACAACAAAGGCAGTCTCCTTTCTGGGCCTGGTGAGGAACCCAGCCTCCCTCGTCCAAGCATCACTGGCTGGAGGGTAGGCCCGTGACTTGGAAGGAAGGTCACAGCTCTACTTGGGCTCGCAGTAGTATTAGTAGTT